CTCGGGCATGACGTTGAGCTCTAAAAATGAGAAGGACCTGAGGGAATATAGAAATGCCTGCAAAAAAAGTAATAGCTATCGAAGGAAGGCATTAAAAAGGCAAAAGTCTAGTGCTGCTTAAAGGACATTAAAAGATTGAAAAATCCCAAAAGATGTGGAGATAACTTCCCATTGGTCAAAGAGCAGCAATTACTTTGAAGAATTATTTCATGAGGGACGACCCGAATTGGCATGGAACCAATTGAGTTAAATAATATCAAATAAGGAAGATATACCACCAGTAACAATCATAGAACTGGATTCAGTTCTAAAAGGAATGAAAAATAGAAAATCTCCCGGCCCTGGTTCTATTCCAATTGAATTAATTAAAGCAGGCCCGACCAAACTCAAAATGGCACTGGCATAGAGTATGACACTTCTGTTAAATGGTGGAGGGATCCCCGAAGAATGGAAGCAGGATTATATCACCCCAGTTTTCATAAAAGGGCCAAAAGAAAGGTGTTTCCAATTACAAAGGTATTACAGTTACCAGCTCACTGAGTAGATTATATGGCCCAATAATTAAAAGCAGAATCAAAAATGACTTAAAGGAAGATATCAGCAAGGAACAGGCGGGTTTTGGAGCTGGAAGATCATGCACTGATCACATTTTTAGTCTCCCACAATTATAGAAAAGAAGATGGCCCACGACCGTTAACTCCACATGATATTTGTAGATTTACACTAAGCCTACGATTCAGTACCTCTAGGAAAATTGTGGAAAGCTTTGGAAGCCACATCTATTAAGAGATACCTCATCAGAGCAATTCAAGGGCTCTATAAAAATATAACAGAGCTATAAAAATAGGAGATAGAGTGTCTTTCCCATTAACAAAGGAATGAAACAGGGCTGCTGATTTTCAACATTTATATAGAACAAGCCCTTAAAGACTGGAAAAGATCGTGCGGTGGAATGGGTGTTCAAATCGGTGATGATGTCATCTACAATTTGTATTATGCCAATGATCAAGTCATAATCGTTTAGGATCAGGATGATGTGAGCTACATGATGAGAAAGTTGCTCGACAAGTATTCCAGATGGGGTGTGAAACTCAGTAAAAGTAAAACAGAGTATAAGGTTTTCAACGCTCCAAATTTGCCCCTTGAAATTGATGATTGGACACTCAACGTCAGCCAACAGTTCAAGTATCTCTGATACTGGCTATCTTTAAAGGGAGGTAGTGAGGTTGACATCAAACATAAAATAAACAATGGGAAAAGAATAATAAGTTCGATAAATTTAATGATATGGAGTAAAGAAATAAGATTGGAAACTAAAAAGAAGTTCTATCATTCCGTTGTGGAAAGCGGATGGATCAGAAGTTTGGACGATTACAAAAAAGGTGGAAAGTAGGTTGATTTCCATGGAAATGGATTTCTGGAGAAGAAGCTGGATATCTAGAATCAAGTGGATTCCAAACACAGCAATTAGAGACAAGGTCGGATGTCAAAAGAACATTCTTCATCTGATCGTGACCAAAAGGTTAAATTGGTATGGCCACTTAATGCGGATGGATGAGAACTGCTGGCCAAAGAAAATTTATAACTATATGTCACCTGAAAGGAAGTGTGGAAGGCCAAATAAGAAATGGGTAGAGGACGTGGAGGAATGTATGGCAGCCAGAGGACTCCGTGAAGGAGTTTGGATGAACAGGGAGCAGTGGCTTTTGGGTGTTGGGAATATGACTCCTTAAGTTTTAGAAAAACCCAAATATAAAAAAAAAAATTGTATAAAAATATATTTGTACATTTTTTTCTTATATAGTATTATATTGTTTGTTTCACAATAATTATTTTGATTATGTTAATTGCCACTCATGATTGTGCACAATATAAACTTCCAAGTCTTTTATTTTTGGAAGGTGGGTACATTCCTCCCACCACAACCAGAATAAAAAGTCTGCGCCTATGGTCAGAGAGGGTTTCAAAATGAGGCATTCACATATTTTAAAATGTACATAAATTTATGAATTCATTGTAAAGAGTAATATCAGTTCTTTTTAATGTCTGAATTCTTTATTAAATTATTAACTAACTGACCCGTGCGAATAATTCTCATAAAATATTATTCAGAAAACAACTGATAGAATAGTATGGAAATATATTAATGAAATGTATTATGAGTTGGAAGAATTCATTTTCCTTTTCTTGGTCGAATTAAAATAATTAATTCAGAAAAATAAACCAAAACATTTGTACAATTTACTATAATATATATCTTTGCTCATAATGGTCTAATTTCGATATAATTTTTTTTTTTATATATGAAATCTTGTAGCCTTTTAATTATTCATGGAGTTAATCTATCGTAAATTACATACTTTTCCTGTTATAGCTAAATTAAGTTTTTTTTTTTTTTTTTTTCTGAGATGTTGGGGGTTGTGTTTAGACTATCTTTAAAATGATGGTCCCATAATTGGAACTAAAGAAGATATGGTGAAATAAAACACCAGTGAGAAAAAAATATGTAGTATATTGTAAAAATATATGTATATTTTAATATATATATATGTATATTGTACATAAAAAATATATGTATATTTTAATATATATATATGTATATTGTACATAAAAAATATATGTATATTGTAATATATATATATATATATATATATATATATATTACAATATACTACATATTTTTTTCTCACTGGTGTTTTATTTCACCATATCTTCTTTAGTTTCATATATATATATATATATTGTATTTATTTATGAAATTGTTATATAGTAGTTTTTTTTATAAATAAAAACAATTTGATGCCATCTTCGAGTTGTTTTTCAAAATGTCAGCAATATTATTTTCCAAATCCACCTCACTCCAATGTTCTTTATAGGCACAATACTCAGTCTAGATGTGCATCACCCTGATATTTACTCTGCAGGAAAGAAACTCCTGGGATGCCTCCTTTGTCAATAGGTTTTCATGTTTTACCCTTGAGTATCCGATTTGTAGTTTTGCTAGGCTGATAATTGTAATTTTTCATAAGAATCAGAACCTATGATAACAGTGACATCAAGATTTCCTATTGCAGGTACAACGTTGGTCTCAAACAGAAACTGAAAAAATGTAAATTTAACGGCTTTAAAAGGCAGTTACTTAATATTATAAATTGTTAGAGTTATCCTTTACTAGACAAAAATCAGATATTAGGAAAGTAAGTTTCGAAAACGGTACGCGTAAAAATGATAATTAATATTTTATAACACTTCTTTGAAAACAATATTAGAATCAATAATACATAAATTACAATAGGCTGTATCTTTATGAATAATGGTCCGATTTCCATGTTTTTTTTTTCGTTTTGTAAGGAATTCGTCAAATTTTCAAATAATAATGGGTCTAATCAAGAAAAAATCTTTTTAAGTAATTTAAAAATAAATTTTCTTTTCATTCATAACTTTTTCCCCTGAAATTGCGGGTAGATGTTACTATGATTCGTCACTGTTCCATTTAATATCCTTTCGTTTGATACTTCATTCATCAAAATACATCGCCCCGAGAGCCAGAAAAGGGATCGTTACAGCAAAAAACTGTTTATTTATTACAGGGAAAACGTTAAGGGAAACCGTTAAACAGACTAAAGAAAGTTTAATTGTACATGATTTACAATTTCATCAGTTTTACTTTTGCTTGGACTGCTTTTAAGAAGAGGAGAGTAATAAAATTTCTTGGAAGGGGAGGGGGGTAAGCTTCATGCGGCATCGACCGTGAGGAGGATGGGTACACCTGGAAACTAGAGCTATTATTTTTTAGCTCAAAGACCCACATTTCGTGGTTCCTATCTAGCTCGTTTTTATCGGGTGTTCCATAATTAAAGATTCCAGATAATTAAACATGGAAGTTTTTCCAGAAGTGGAGTATCTTTATTTCATTTGGAAGCTGATCTTGATCGAATAATCGAGAAAAAAAAATCGAGAATAATATATAATGTATATATTATTATACAACCTAATAATTAATTATACCCCCGACAACATAATAATGGTCTCTAATATCAATAAAGTGGGTCTTACATAAAACCATTATTGAAGAGATTAAAAGAATACTCATTATAAACATTTAGGAGATGAAAAATAAAAAAATTCTCAAAGGAATTTAGCTGAGTATTTTATGTAATCGGATATAACACCGCGAGTATTTTCTGCACTTAACTATGATTAACGTTGTCTGAGTACAGAAACTACTTGCTGCTTTTTCTTACAAAAAGTACTCGAAAGTAATCGAGTACTGTCCATATCTAGTTCATTATGGAATCATTGATAATTATTTCACCTAAATATTGTTTTGGACATCGCTTCACATTCAACAAAAACGTGAGATTCTTAAAAGTACTCCAAACAAACTCCGTTTTTTTATAGCTTCTGGGATCTACTATTTAAATATTTCCCATTATTTAAGGGACACTTTGCGTACCAAATCTGCCCTAAAACCTCAAGTTTTGATTTCAACATTTTTTTAAATTTTATAATTATAGTTATTTCTAGTATTTATTGAATTTTAAGAAATTTCTGGGCACAACTTCAGCGGTTCTTTGTCGTTATTTCCAGGAAACCTAACTTAGCGCCAACGTTCTTGTTCTGCTTTGCCGAAATATGCTTGGCGAATCAGATGGAATTTGGTGTGGCTTTGGATGTATTTTCTTGAACTGGTTACACATCTCAATAATCCTTAATATGGGCGTAATAATCCTGCAATTTATCGCCCTAAAACCTCTACCATACCCTCAATAACCAGAATTGTGTAACCATATGATCGCCTCAACAATCCTTTATAAAATGTTTAAAATAAAGTCAATGTACATTTAGAATATTTTCTCCAGCTGTATTTGACAAATATTGTTGATTACAAGTAGATACATTAATAATTACCGAAAACTAATATTAATAAAAATAAATATAATTTGTGAAATACATAAAACATATTTTTATTTTATACATAATATTTGGGATTGAAGTTTACTAAATATACAAAACTTTTAAGTATCAAATTAAATGAGTTAACAAATATTCTTATCTTAAGTGTAGAATATAATAAAATTATAAACAATACTGTATTGGAAAAATCACATTTTTACTTTTGGAAATCAAAATCCAGCCATCTGATTTTCATGTGTGACAAATATATCAATTAGATTAATTTATAACTCATTTCATCCCAGTAAAAGCAGTGTAGGGACCTCAATTGAAATGAATAGAATACTTTCATCTGGAGTTCTAAAGGTAATGATTTTTTTTCTTAATAAGCAAATCACGTTTCATTAGTTTTTCTTTTTTTTAAACCTTGTGGGATTGAGAATTTGAATCCTTGGGTAATGAAGACATGTTTTGAACATTCTTCTTATTTTCAAAGTGTTAGAACTACTAAGGTTTTAATAATGAATTAAAATTTAAAAAATCTTTATTCTCGATTTCTCTTAGCATCTAATGATAGTTCTCGGTTCCAATGATGCTGAATTATATTTTTTCAAGGGCTACCTCTGTCTCCTGTACTTTTCTAAGCTCATAAATACAAAAAATCTTTGGTTATTGAAGCAAATGTATTCCTAAAATATTTGCTATAAATTCTGCAAGATCAATTGCTGCAAATAAGTTTTAAATTAATATTTATTTTTTATGTAAGTCAGTTATTGTATAGAATTTAGTACTTTTTGTGACTCATACTAATACACTCCCACGGGTGGATCTATGGAGAGGGGGCTTTCGAGCTGAAGCCCTCTCCCCCTCTCGAAATGGTAAAATATAACCATGCTGTATGAAAAAAATTATCTTTAAATTACAGTTAATAGGACTTCAACAATAATTTAAAGACCATTTTATACACCTATTTAGTTTCTTTATTTCTTCTGAAGTCATTATCCTAATATATTTGTACAAAAAAAATCTTTCGGGCTGAAGTCCCCCTCCCAAAATTAAATTCTGAATCCGTTACTGTACTCTCCGTTAAAAAATTTAATTTAATTAATTTAAGAATTAAAAAATTTATTTATTAACAAAATATTATTCTATAAGATTTAATATCTTGACAGAAAAATCAATGATTTCATGCATTAGAGAAAGTAAAGTAATTCTATAAAATCAAATTAGACAGTTAGAAAAAGTTTACTTAGCATTTAATTTAATTTACTTATATTATATATACATTATATTATACTTTACTTATATTATATATAATTGTGGGTAAATGGTTGACTGTCGTGAATAATGAAGAGAAGAATAGTTGGGGTGAAAATAAGAAGGCAAAAATAAATGATAATATTTATTTTTGCCTTCTTATTTGATTGATCACCCTAACTATTCTTCTCTTCACTATATTATGTATACATTATATTATACTTTACTTATATATTATATTTACCCATATTTTATCAAAATGTATCAGTTGAAGTGAAATAATTGTGTTATACACTTTCTTTTAATTATTGTGAAGAAATTGTGAGAGTTTGGCTAGAAACCTGTGTTATGGATACTCAACTATAGCTGTTTTCTGTTGTCGAAGAATAATTTTATAAGAGTTTGTGATTAGCCGTGATTGGTTGAAAAAACAAAACATTGCTTTAATCGACCCAAGAGTTAAAACAAACAAGTAGAGTTATATAGAAATTAAAAGTGAATTGGAGGCTTCATCAAATCTAATTTCTGAGAGAATCAGAACTGAAGTTAATCCTCCAGTAATTAATTCTAATAAACTTACCTTTTATTTGATAAACCTTCAATTTATTTGAAAGGATTTTAAGATATCACCTCCCTTTTCATAAATAAAATTATATAGGACAAATAACTTCAGGTTAAAATCTACAATAATAGGTTTGAGACAATTATACGACTCATGTAGGCTAGTGGTAAGGCAATTAAAAATGATTAACAGTGGTTTTTCTGTGCACTATTGAATGGCACATGTGAGAGCTCCATCAGCAGAAAAAATAGGTATAACTCAACAAAAAACTGCCAATTAACCGTCAGAAGCAGCAGACTTAAGACAGAGCTGACAAAATACCAAATTTAGAACTATTCCTAGCCATGCTGAGGCCCCATAAACAACAGCATTAAGAGCAACCAGGAACTTCAAAACAACTCCAGCCATACCAAAATGAAAAATTACTCAAACCAGAAACACTCAAAATCAAGCATGTCTAGTCAACAAGAATCCACAAGTCCAAATCAACTAAAGAAAGTCAAAAGCAACCCAAATAGTTTCATACAGCCTCTTAACCAATTATCACAAATAATCAAGCTTTTTAGAACACATGTGGAATCAATTATAGTTGCGGACTACAATTGACTTAATTGGATATATTCAATTAATGTTTGGATAAAATTAGTTCCTGCATGTTCTTAATTCTAAATAATACTCTTAAAGCATTAAACTAAATATATTTTGTGATACGTAATACCAGTTCTTTTTTTCTGTTTGGACCGAGTAGAACTTGTTATCATCCTGAACATGGTATTTATTCATTATCCTAATTTTAGCACCTTTATCTTGGAGTATTGAGGATCCATTCTAATATAATGTACCATTAATTAGTCCATATCACTCATATCTACTTATTGTGATAAGGGGTAAGTTTGTGTCATATAACTCGTGGTCTGAAGACTTTAGTGCATTGACAGCCCTTCACTTAATACCCAGTCATTTTCTTATATATTGTAACATTTTCCCAGGGTTTTTTTTAATAAAATGTTTCAATGCATATTTTGAGTAATTAAGAAACTGTTTTAATTCACTTTTTTTTTTTTTTATTATTCATAATCTAGCATTTTACATAATCCACTACCTGATGTTTACATATTCTAGTGAAGATATTTTTACTTTCTGTTAATGGACGAACATTTACTTGAATCTTTATTTGCAGATTTTCACACGTAGATTTGCCAAAGACATAAGATTTGGCCATGAAGTACGATCTAAAATGCTTGAAGGTGTTGACATATTAGCAGATGCAGTCGCAGTTACTATGGGACCAAAGGTTGATAATTTAATATAATATTACGAAGCATACTAATATTTTTGTAACATAATAATAATAATCTTTATTAGCATCACTTTTGTAAATTAAGTAATTTGTATTATTAAGTAAACAGCACTTTCAAAAGACCCTCGTATTTAAGGGAAGAAATATATAAAAATAAATGACTTTAAAATTTTGTTTTAAGGGAAGGAATGTAATTATTGATCAGCCATGGGGATCACCTAAGATAACTAAAGATGGTGTCACTGTGGCAAAAGGTGTGGAACTCAAGGAGAAGTTTCAAAATATTGGTGCAAAGATTGTTCAAGCTGTTGCTAACAACACCAACAAAAAGGCTGGAGATGGAACTACAACAGCAACTGTATGCAGAAAGTATTTTTCAATAAGCACTAAAATAAGTATTTTAAATATAGGAATAACTTATTTTAATTAATCATCAATGATTACTATAATTTTACATCTTAATCTTGTTTTCATTAACCATGACAGCTGACAGTTGATTAAGCTTAACAGCAGAACAATCAGTTATATTTTAACTATCTTGCGTTTTATTCAACTTGAACAAATATTTTATTTCGATATACTAAATGCTAGTCTTTGTTATGTTCATAAAATTAAATTATTAAATAATTACATAAATATGTGCATCGGTTTAAATTAAAAATCAGTCTGAAATGTTTGAATTTTTCTATCTATATTAATTGGTAAACAACCCTCAGTAGATCCTGGTCACCTCAATGAGCTTCTACCGCACTTCTCTGTTCTATGCGGCCACTAAGCAATTTCTGACTACCAGCAGATCTCTCACATCTGCCCATCTCAATTTTGATCAGTCAGCTTTCCTAGAACAGTGTAATGGCTCTTCAAGTGCTCTTATCAAGATTTCAGATCTCTCTATCTGAGCTATGTGTCCTGCCCAACTTTGAATTTGTTTACTCTTCTTTTAAAAACTTGTTGAAATATATATTTTAAGCTAAATTTATCAATAAATTTTGTCTGATATACTACTTATATATGCAATATCATCTGCATACAAGTTTATATGATAGACGCATATGACTAATTTTTTTATATGACATATCTTTTTCCAGGTTTTAGCTAGAGCCATTGCTAAAGAAGGTTTTGAAAGAATAAGCAGAGGGGCAAATCCTATAGAAATCAGGAAAGGTATTTAATCAAGTGAATATTTTATATTAAAATTAAAACATAAACATGATTATGTTTAATAATTTTATTAATTGATGAAACAGATTTTACTGAAACAACTGCTTTGTAGTTAATAAAAGGCTATTGAAAGGTAAGTTAGAAAGTGAAAGGAAGGTGTGTTATGTCTTTTATAAGGTTGAATGAGTTTAATCAGAAAGTTGAATATTTTTTATTAGATCTTCATCATAAAAGATATCAAGTTATCTATTCCATAGTAAATTTGAAACATCATATGGACCAGGGTTATTTATATTATTATGGATTTCAGAGGTTGGAATAGGGAATCTGTATAGTCATGATCCTCAAAAAGCATAACCAACTAAAAGACTGTCTCATGAAGAATATACACCAACTGAGAATGCAGGAATCACGGACAAAGAAGCCTTCTATCCGGACTTGCAAGGATTAACAGTGGTGCCATTTTAGAATGTGTCTTAGAAGTGGCAAGAGAAGTTTGTGGTTTGCGTAAAATATCAAGTAAACAAAAGCGCAAAGAATGGTGGTATGAAGTACGCTGCATTCTTTAACTAAAGAAGAAAGCTTGGAAAGACAGAACTACTGAAAAATGAAACCAATACCATTTGGTCAGAAACCAATGCAAATAAGTGCTCCGTCAAAAGAATTGCATGGGAGAAGTTAGGAAAAGTCTCGATGAAGACCACCATGAGAGTATTAAAAAATTTTGACGTAAAGTAAAAATCTTGAGAGGGAAAAGAAATAAGCATGAAATTTGGAGGTCAAAAACTAAAATTTTCCCGGCACTTCCTCCAAAAAATATGGGACATAAAGATAATTCCAAGAGATACGGAGTTCAGTATCATTGTCTCTATTAGTAAGAAATGTAACTCTACCAACTGTGAAAATTACAGGCTTACTTTCAGTGGCTTACAAACTTTACTTTTAGAAGAAGAAGCAGTTTTTCATCCAGGAAGACAGACTCAAGACCACATTTTCATATTGAGAAGTATTGCAGAGGAAGCTTGGGACTTTCTCCATAAGAACATGTATCTTAAAGCATTCTTGAATCTTAAAGCTGGGTTCGGCTCTGTCTCCAAAAAAGCAATATAGAATGCTTTGAAAGCAAAAAATGTACCAGAAGATCTGGTCACAGCTATTAAATCGGTTTATAAGGAAGCGAAAGGAGTTGTGAGGATCAAGGGAAGGGAATCCAAGCCTTTTCCCATAGGTGTGAAGCAGAGAGACAGCCTCAGTTCCCTCTTATTCATCATATTTATGGATAATATCCATCAAATTTGTAAGCGCTGTACTGAATTTATGGTCATCTGTAAATGGAACATGGAGAACATTATGGTTCAAATCCTATTGTATGCTGATGACGTACTGATAGCAGATACAAAAAACAAGCTGCAACAGGCTCTTGTGGAATGGCAGGAAGAGCTCCTCTGCAAAAGAATGGCTATCGACCCCTCCAAAAGATCTTAATTCTTTCAAGAGAGGGACAAGAGGATATCCAGGTGACCTGTAATGGCGAGATACTCGACGTTGTACAGCAATTCACCTATTTGGGGACAGTCATTAGCAATATGGGAGAATCGACCCAGAAGTAGTAAATAGGATTTCCAAAGCCAACCAGGTTTATTATCCTATCTGCAACACCATAGTGGGGAGGGCGGGGTGGCTGAATGGGCTAACGCGTGTGCACTGCACCGCCGTTGCTTGGCAACCTGACATATGAATTAATGATATAAAAACAGACACGAGTTCGCGTCCCGGTGCCGAGGGACTCTTTTAAATCCCGGCTCACACTCCCTGGCCCAGGAAAATCCCGTATAGCCTTAACGGCGAGGAAGGGAAGAACGAAAAAAAAAAAACACCATAGTGGGACACAGAGACATTAATAAAGAAACTAAAATGCACATATACAAGTCTGTATATCTACCAACCTTGAGTTACTGAAGTGAAAGTTGGGTTATGCTGACAAGCAGGAAAATTGACAACTGAAATGGTTTGGCCACATTTGTCGGATGGAGGATGAAATAGAACCTCAGAAAGTGATGGAAGATCGACTTACTGGGAGGAGACCACGAGGCCGTCCCAGAATTTCCTACCAAGTATGTATACAGCGGATAGGAGTGAAGAGAGAAAAAGCTCTACTGGAAATGAGGCAGCTTAGCTAGGACCGGGAGACATGGCTGTGCGTCGAGGTTCCTCGACGATAGGAATGGCATCAGAAGTGGACAAAGAAGAAGAGTTTGGAATAATTGGACAACTTGTTTGAAGTCCCAAATACCACTGTTGTAATACTTATTAATAATTATTTAGATGTTGTTACTGATTTTAGGAGTTTTAATAGAGTATTTACTGACTAAGGAGATTATTTAGTTGAAGTTCACAAGTGCTCCTCTCTTTAAGAATAGGTTTACTCAATGTTTAGTCTGGATTTAGAACAAAAATTATTATTTGTTCCATTTGGATGATATTGCCCTGGAGCATAGATTCTATTAAGTGACGACCTGAGTCTTAAATATTTATGGTAATCAGACGGCATTTGAATGTGATATTGACTATAAAATTTCCTTATAACCAACCGTTGGCCAAGAAACAATTTTCCTATTAAGTCAATCCTTGTAGTTATTTAATTTTTAACTTTTGGTTATACAACTTATACTTAAAAAAATCCTAGTAATACTTGATAATTTAGTTGGCAATGAACTAGTTGCATCAATCTTCAAAAAGATGAATAACACACTCTCTCTCTCTCTCTCTCTCTCTCTCTCTCTCTCTATATATATATATATATATATATATATATATATATATATATTGTAAGGTTACATCTCCTTTGCAAAGTAAACAAAATAGTTTATGAATCAAATTATATTTATTTTAAACAATAATTATTTCTCAGGTTGGGTTCAGACAACACACATTTCTCAAATATATAATACAAAGGCATACATTAATTTTATATAACATATTTATGAATTTCCATTCTTTTGTCAGGATCTACTCTTGGCGTGCTTTCGAACTGTCACTATTTATATTTCACTCGCCCTGTTCTGCAATAAATCCTCCTCTGTATTGTTGTATTCAACTTCTACTAGGAGGAGTAGGTTCTTGCGCCAACGATCTTGGAGGGGATGGGCATCCCTGCCAACTTGTATATATAAAAAAGTTTTAACTACACAAAATGTCATTAACATCAAAATTTTCAATATAATTTGTATTGTAGGAGTAATGATTGCTGTACAAGAGGCAAAAACATATCTTAAAAATTTGTCCAAACCTGTAACTACTCCAGAAGAAATCGCTCAGGTAGCAACCATATCAGCTAATGGTGCAGAAGATATTGGGAAACTCATATCAAGGGCTGTAGAAAAGGTTATCATCATCAATCATTATTGAATTTATAATAGATAAGACTTTTAATTGCATCAAATATAAAAAAAAATTATATATTTCGTTATTAAGACCAGTTCTAATTTTCAAGGTTAATTACTTTCTCCAAATGATATTATAGATTTTTTTTTTCAAGAAGATAATTATTCTGATAAATTTAACATCCATTAATTTATAACTCATTAAATGATGTTTTGAGTCTCCTGTCTAATTTTCCAGTCATTTTAATACCTTGATTTCTCCTAAACTACTTCAAATCTCTGCTAATGCCTCTATGGTATCCCAAAATTCAATTAAAAGTTTCTTTAGTCAAGATATATATTTTTGATTGCTTATTAAGAGTAATAATATGCAAGGTACTCTTTCCGCTTCCATTGCTCAGAATGGACACTCTAGTCTGGGGGAGAGCTTCATTTCACTTCATGCCTCACCTTTTTTTAACCCATTAAACATGACAGCCAGTGTATTGATAACTCACCTTCAGGTTTATTTTTATAATTTATAAAAATGATAATCTATTTTTATTGTTCTACAAAACTGTGTACTTTACTTCGTTATGCTAATGTTCACATTATATTTTTTCAAATGACCTGTTGATTCTGATACTTATTGTCTTGTCTGCAGGTTGGAAAAGATGGAGTAATCACAGTTAAGGAGGGAAAAACATTAGAAGATGAATTAGAAGTTATTGAAGGAATGAAACTGGATAAAGGGTACATTTCTGCTTATTTCATCAACACCGCTAAAGGTATATTGTTTTAAAATTATATAAATATCTGTTGAATTATAATGATTTTTTAAGAAAATCCTTTTTGCTTAATAAAATCATTATTTAAGGAGCTAAAGTTGAATATGAAGATATAATGGTTCTTGTTACTGAAAAAAAACTTTCTGCGATTAGTCATGTCCTCCCCGTTTTGGAGTTAGTAAACAAAAAGAAAAAGCCATTATTAATAATAGCTGAAGATTTAGATGGTGAAGCATTATCCTTAATGGTAGTTAACAGGTAAAAAATGAAATCATGTTTGAATTACCTGCTTAAATATTTGAATCATTCATTTCTTTAAAGTTGTTTCATTCATTTTGAAATTGGGAAGATGAATTGAAATATATACATTCCTCCCAATATTAATTAATAAAACATTTTACAGATTGAAAATAGGATTGAATGTGGTAGCTATACGAGCTCCTGGTTTTGGAGAACAGAAAAAAGCAATTTTGAAGGATATTGCAGTAGCCACAGGTATCTTTTATTATGGCATACATACACACAAAGTTGATCAACTTTATTTTCGTCTAAATTTTTTTTTTTTATAGGAGCAACAGTTTTTGGAGATGAACTGGGTTTTCGGATCGAGGATTGTCAAGAGCGCCACTTAGGAGGTTTGGGTGAAGTCACTATTACTAAGGAAGATTCACTCCTGCTGAGGGTAAGATTATTTTTATAATATTTTAGTATTTAAATATAATAAGGATATTTTCTCCATATTTAGGAAGGATATGTTCTTGGACTCCTCTAAGCAGAAAAAAAAAAAGCTTGAGGTGTGAAAATTAAATGCTATTGGTTGTATTTTTATCACACATATTTTCCTATGAAAGATGATTTTTATCTCATTTGTATTTTATTTTATTTTTTGGCTTTACTTTTGTAGATCTTTTGCCACCTTGACCAGTCTTCTCCACCTCTGTCTGTCTTAGGCTTTTGATTTCCAGGTTTCTGCATGCATCTTTGTTGATTCCATCTATCGATCTTAACATCTTAGCCTTCATGTCATGCATTCCTTATTGATCCTTTTCTTCCATGCATTGGTAATCTGATCTCAAATCATCCAGGTTATCATGCAGAGGATTTTCCTCCCAAATTTTTCTATACTACTTTTTAGGGTGCTGGTTAGTTTCCAAGTCTTGCAGCCATAAATTCGTACTGGCTTCATCATAACACTACTATTTTCTAATTGACAGCTTCTATTTATGATTTAAAGATTAACAAAACATTTAATTGTAGGGAAAAGGCAAACGAGAAGAAATAAATGCAAGAATAGCTGAAATTAAGCATACTTTAAGTACCACCAATAGTGATTTTGAAAAGGATAAGTTACAAGACAGACTTGGAAGACTAACTGCAGGTGTTGCAGTACTAAAAGTTGGAGGATGTAGTGAAGTATAACATTCATATGTTTAATTTTAAAATTAAAATTATAGAATTCAATTCATATTCAAATAGAAGATATTGTGGATTTATTGTAAAAAATCATCATACAAAGTAACATCTCATAAAATTAATCATTAAGTACTTTGACGAATTGTCTCTCTGTGAATTCAGAACATAGTGCACTTGGTGTAACTGTTTTTTGGAACATAAAAAAGCTTGTCATTTTGACTCACTGTTTGTGCATAGATAAATATAGTAAAAACTCACAAAAATTTACTTTTTACAATAAATTGGTGCTATACAAAGCTCAATTTTTTCTTTCCCTTAACTCTCAGCTCAGTTCATTTCGGCTATCCTTTTAATTGATATAATTAGTTAGTAATTGATTTAGTAATGGTAATATATCAATGATTTTATTTTTATTTGTTTGCTAATTCCACCACATGCATTTATTTTAATTTGATTAAGTTCATTGAAATAACGTTTCACCATAGGCTATAATATATTATTCAATAGTAAATTTTGCTTTAATTTAAATGTTTGTCAATAGGAATGTGCTTTCCATCTTCCTTACAAGTCTAAGGTAGTATAGTTCAAATTATTTCAAGTAGCTTTTTGTTTTCATGTTCTTATGAACAACATGCCTCTTTGGCTAGAAGTTTCCAATCCCTTAACCCATTTTATTTAATAATTTTAATTAAATATTTATTATGTTATGTTTTATTATTTTCACATATTAAAATCAATAGTATTAGAAAAATATTTCATCTCCTTCATATTAGAATTGTTAATATAATTTAAACATTGCATAAGAAATAATTCAACTAAATACTAAATAAACTTTTAATTGCTGTCTAACATATGCTTTATTAAAAGGTCGAAGTCAACGAGAAAAAAGATCGAGTAACTGATGCATTGAATGCAACACGTGCTGCAATTGAGGAAGGTATAGTTCCAGGAGGAGGTATAGCATTACTTCGATGCATTTCAGCAGTCGAAGACCTACAACCAGCTAATCCAGACCAAAAGATTGGTAAATCAAATTAAATTATTATTATTGTATGAGTTAACACTCATCACTGTCATAAGAGCCAATTGCTAATGTGATGATTAATAACAAAATATAATTAAAATAAGTGAATTAAAAAAAAAATCATTAACAACCTATTTTCTTGTTTAAAAGGAATAGAAATTGTAGCCAGAGCATTACGAGTTCCGTGCATGGTAATTGCAAAGAATGCTGGAGCCGATGAATCAGTTGTTGTAAATAAGGTAGTTTGAACAAAAAAAAGAAATTTGCTTATTCCCTCTTTCATTTATATTGAATTTCACTCTTACCATTTCCAATATACTAATAATTTACATAAGTATTATAAAAATGTGATATTATTAAGCACTAATTCAGTTTAATTTCAGGTACTTGAATCATCAGAAGAAACTGGTTACGATGCAAAGGAAGGTGATTACGTCAACATGATGGAAAAAGGAATTATAGATCCAACAAAGGTGAATTAAAATAGAGAACTTTTAGGAATTTCCATTTAATAATTCAATATGGAATTCTAAAGTATACCATGGCTCAAAAACTTTGAAAGAGATCTGATCCGAATTGGTTACTTAAATTCTTATCATTGCTCAGTAAATCCTATCTACTATTCGATTTATACATTCATTGAATGTGTTCACAATTCATGAACTCTGTTCCAAACTCTTTTAGCGAAAATCCTCAGGAATCAAATCAAGTCCTCAGAGTCAGTCACCTAAATGCTTATGGGAAAAGCATTATGATTAGTCATTTTTTCATGTTAAACAAATTTGATGATATCATGATTAATATGTATGTTTTCCTGGTTAAAAAAAAAAGATGAATAGTTTTCTTTACTAAACTTCCAAAAAAATCTTTTAACCAAGTTCTTAACTTAATATTTGTCTATTTTGTTAAAGAGCAGTCCTTACTTAAAAGAAAAAAGCAAATATCGTTCTATCTATTTAATTTATTTATTATTCTAAAGTTTTCATACTGAATGTTAAATTTGAACATTCCATGAATAATTGAAGGGTTCAGTCGAGTAACAATCTATGTTATATTTTTGTGAAATTGGATTTTTCTGAAATTATATACTATCTAGCTTACATCACACCTTCATAAGAGATTGATAGTTCTTTGTTACTTTCAAACAAAAAAGGACGTTACGGGTAAACTTTTATTGTTTTTCTGTAAATTAAACAAAAAAAAAAAAAAAGTAGGCAGTTATTTGGCCAAACATTCATTAAGTATACCAGTGATATTTTGTGATGACATTAAATGATATGTTTCTTCAGGTCGTAAGAACTGCACTTATAGATGCTGCTGGTGTTGCTTCTCTTCTAACTACAGCTGAAGCAGTGTTAGCTGACATTCCATCAAAGGATAAAGGTCCAGGACTAGGAGGGATGGGAGGTGGCGGCGGAGGTATGCCGATGGACATGGGAGAGATGTAGATCTGCCAGTACTGCTTGTTCCATCACAAATAGCAAACTGTGATGATAACTAATCAAGATCGGTTCTATTATCCTAGGTAGCTTATAAATGATGATGTATTTTATGGGTTGGACTAATACAATACTGTAAACAAAATAAAAATTTCATTCACTCCAATAAGTTAATTATTAATTAATTTTCAGCTATTGATAAAAGGAGCAATTTTCCAAAAGTTATCTTATCACTTTTTCAATAATACTTTTATTTTTAAAAGAAATTGAAAGTAATAAACCTGGACTATTAGCAGAAGCCAACTCCAAGCAATGGAAATGCAGGTTCCTGAGGAGAATATAGGGAAAAACAAGGAGTAACAAAAGCAGAAACATAATAAGAAATACTTTAGGAATAAAACCAGCCGAAATCTTAAAAGAAGAAAATAAGCTATGCTGATAACGACCATGTCAAAAGAATGACTGAAAACAAGTACAAAGCTAGATCGAGAGAAGAAGACCTAGAAACACATGGGAAAGAGGCTTTTATTGATAGGAGATGAATGGGCTGGAATAGAAAAAGTTAGCTGGTATCAGATTGTTCAGGAATGAAGGAATGCAGGAATCATGAAACATTGATCAGGATCCTCAACACTGATTAACAGTAGAAGAGGGATCGATCAAGAAGAGGAAGGAATAGTCAACTTCAAAATATAAAATTATTCAATCAAGAATATACCCAGAAGGAAAGGTATATATTCTTATGAAATATGCTGATATAACATACTCAAAGTGTGTTTAAGTAATTATAGTTGAACTCGTTCGCCACAAGAATTCAAATATAACTGGAGTCTAGGTGTAGTCCCAAGTTCTCTGATTAATCTATAAATTGATCAAATGCTGAATCTCCATATTAGGGAGGGAAAAGAGTATTCTTAGAGCCTTTTAGAGCATACCTTTCTTTTGACAGTTATGATCCCTTCTATGAAAGTCTATACACACTAATAAGTCAACAAAATTGATAAAGTCAGTATTTAGGTAGCCTGATTTCAAAGGCTGACATCAGTGATTTGTAGAAAAAGTCTACTTTGGTTAGTAAAATCTTCGATTTAAAGCAATTATGATAATTTTTATTTTATAATTAAACTTAACAAAGAAATATTATATAAAATAAGTGTTTTATATCATCTGCACTGCAAGATAACTAATTTGAAATGGATAGTTATGCCTAATATATTAGTAATTTTACAGGTTAAAGGTTGATTATTTGTAGTACTAGCTTTTAATTAATTATCATAATTTTCTGAGTTTAATATTCTCTAATTGGTTTGGATGTCAAAAGTTATAAAAAAGATCTAGACAGAATTGAATAGAGATGGTTCTATAGTCTTCAGGGATGATCGGGAACTGTTAAGACTTTTCACAATTATTGTATAAGTATTTTTCAATATGTAGATGTAGCTAATTAAGTTCAGTTAATAGTGAGTTATTCATCAAGGGTTCATGGGAGAGTTGGTTGATTATGAATCGAGAGTTAGTAATTAGAGAATTTTAAGTCAGTGAAACAGATCAGAAAAATGTTTGGACCTGTAACAACTGGAATTAGGGATAGACATATTCTGATAGACGTATCAATCACTGAAAATACTTTGAATATGGAAAATAATGGTCCATCTCCTCCTGAGAACCAGAGTGCAGAACTGTTTATAGAAGAACCGAGGAAGTTGAAATATCCATCAGAAAATAAAATCTTATAATCTTAAAGCAGCAAGTACCAATAATACTCAAATCAAACTAATCAAGGCATGTGGGGAAGCTGGAGTTTTCTGATTAATAAAAAGGGTCCTGTAATAATTATTATGAGGAATCTCTTTCCTTATCTCACCTCGCTCTGCTTTGATATAGATTATTCACATTAATCCTAAATAGTTCAATCACAGAACTTGACAAGGAAATTATCAGAGACTTACTATGTGGTTTTGTATGGAACTATTGATCAAATATTTTCCTTGTGGCAAATATTAGAGGAAAATATAGTACAACAGAGTTATTCATCAGTTTTATACCAATTTCAAGAACATTTATGATTCCATTGGCTGTAAGACATTGCAAAATATACTAATTGAGCATGGGATACCAAAGTTAGTAAATGTAGTAAGGATGTGTTTCTTCACTTCTTAACCTTTAGTCCCTTTATCTGTTTACTTACAATTAAAGGTAACCTCCACTTGCTTGTTATCCACTGATATCTTATTCTTATTTTAACTTTACTGTAACAATACTTATTCAATTTTCAATCTATTTATTCGTTAACATTCATTTTCTTTATCTGTTAACCCACAGTTATCTAATGTAATCTCTATTAGTTTGTTATACATTTATTACTTATCTTTTATCGCAATCTGTTTACTTTTAACTTACATGCTAAATTCTCCTTTATTTTTATTTTTATTCATACTTATTTTCCATTTGTTTGTATCTTCTACATATATAATACTTAATATTTAACTACATTGTCACCCACTATATCTCTTGATATCATCTTTTATTTCTGTATCTGACAACTTCTTCTTATTTTATATCTACTCATATTTATTTTTTATTTTCAACATGTTTTGTATCTTTTGTAGCCTTGAAGACGACCTGCAAAGTGGGTCGAAACGTCGGCAAAAATTAAAATAATTACTATATTTTAATTTAGTATTTATTTGACCGCACCCCCCGATTAACTCCTTCTCATATTGTATCAACGGCGAACCATCTTTACATCAGTAGTAAAGATGTGCATGAAGAAGATATTTAAAAAAATAGACTGTGTCCTGAATATGTAGAACAGTCGACTAACTTCCTTCATTAATTAAGTTAAAATAGGTATTTATTTTATTACCACTTAAAAAGTTCTTGAAAAAATGATTACCTATTCTAACTATAATGAATTTCTCCTTCATGTACATCCTTATTATAAATACTATATTTTTTGGTATGTCAGGCTCAATCAATGATAATCACACCAATTAAGAGTTCTCAGCAGGTGAATTAAATTACAAAGTTGTTTTTGGTCAGTTATTTAGGCAAAGAATTACCATCATTAAGGAGTACAAGAAACTGTTTAAGTTAAATTGAGATGTTTGTGGAATAATGTGATTACAATACAAGATAATAATGTGGTTACAATACAATATGTTTTTAGAACTTATATTACGCCTTTTATTATCAAATATATGGCAAGTATTTTCTAACAACATTCTCTTATAAACAAAATATTGTATTCATGTTCAAGAAATCAGGGAAACAACATATCATATGTTTAATAATTTTTCATACCAACCTAAACAAAAGTAGGGTTTTACTTAAAAGATTTCAACACTATCAGTATTACTAATTCATTAAAATTCTTAAGTAATTCTTTAAACCTCAATTCCACTAAATAACTACATAATATAGCACAATGAGTTTCATTTAAATGAAAATGTCCAGAAGAAATATTTCATTGAATTTAATATACTAGATAAACAGCTAGGGAAAAACCCTACACATTAAACAAAAAATATGCATATATTTATACAATAAAATATATATAAACAAAATCTGGAGTATAAATAGTATATTACATATATACAAAGAGGACTAAGGAATTATATTTTCTTAGAAAGCATCATACCTTCAACAATACTATTGAATTTCCTAAAACAAAGAAAGAAAAATTAATGTATGAACAAAACAAGAAAAAATATATTATTTAAAATTTTCTACCTACTTTGAGTTAATAGGTTCTCCTGGAATGTAAAATGGATTACATACCACATCTGCATATGCAGCATGCAAGTTTCTGAACATCTGAAACAAGTTTATAAATATTTAAAAACTGTAGTTTCTCATGTAAACAATTATAAGAAGATTCCACGTGTGTTTTTAGGATTTAGATGAAACTTTTTAAAGATTTACAAAACTGGAATATTACTATTATACCACTGGAAAAAAATCTAAAAGTTTGTGTGTACAAAACAATTTATTTTTCTGGATTTGATGAAGGCACCAAATAATGAGTTAAGCGCCAAAATGTCATTAGTTTTTAAAAAACTAAAAGCCATAAAAATAAACAGATATTAAGCACGGTTCAAATACTAAAAATAGTGGAGATGGGTTAATAGTCGACTGATCATTTATATGGATGAAACAAAATTTGGACTTGATTGCAAATCCTGAAAATTTTGTTTCATCCAACTAAAAGTAGTGATTTTATTTTTAGGAAAACATTAGTTTGCTTTATAAACAACAAAACAAGATTTCCCTTCTCAACTTAATTCTTAACTTTTATGAAAATTGAAAAACAAAATACTTGTGCCCCAAAATTAAAACGAGAACAACCATGTCCTCAGCAACATTGGCAGGAAACCTAAATGCCTCAAATGTACTTCAATAAAAATCTGGTGCGTGCAATACACAACTTTTACTTAACGATCAACTATAATTAGAAATTATTTTCTGGACGTGTTCAGCCATTATATTTTTTTTCAATTGCAGTTTTAACAGAGCGAAAACTAAAAGCTTATAGCCAACAAATCATAAATACCATTAAAATAACAAAAGTCCTATTTATTATATCTCCGGTTCATTATGGATTGTACGATCCATTGATTATGGGTTGTACGATGCGTTGATTATGGATTGTATGACTATTAGTTATTTTCTATTGCAAAGTTAACTAAAATTGAATTAAGAGATTTACATTGTCTGTCATAGACAGGTCAAAAGTTGTAAGTTGTCACACTAATTGGATGTGGATACTGTTGGAATATCGCAAAGAGAAAATTCATCAAATCATTCATTCTAAAAGGTAACACGATGATTTTTTGGAATAAACAGACGACAGATATCTAATTATTTAAATATAATATCATATCTAGAGTTATTCGAGAACCTTAACAAAATACAGTAAATATATTTAAGGTTATAAACATATCCATGAAATATTTTTATATTTTACTTCTTCTTTCACATAGGTACAGAGAAATAGTATCTTAAACAGTGTCATTGCCTTGAATCCGTGGATTTTAAATCTTTTTTCAAACTAAAAAAAATATGTTTACATTTAGTACAAAAATTTCATTTAATTTCCTTGAAAATACCAGATTTACTTTAAAAAATGTTAGTTTTTAGAAATTATTATTTACATTTTTTTAGCCACTCTCTTTCACCTTCTACAATTTTTCATATTAGATACTATTCTATTTTATTTTTTTTCAATTCTCCGCTTTCCAACGATATACTACACATATGGCCACTAGCTATTATTTCCGGCCTATATATGTATTTTTCTCTTATATTCAATTATCAAATTCTTTCAAAAGTTATATTTAACATATTTTCATATCTCTTAACAATGAGAAATAGTTATTATTTATAACAAACCAAATTAAAGATGCTTTAGAAGAAGACACGATAATTTTGTGATTTCACAATGGGAAAATTCATCAAATTATTCACTAATTTAATTTTTTTTAAAGTTACAAGACAATTTTTTGAATAAACAGACGTTGATACCTCCTAATTATTTAAATATAATATCAGATCTAGAATTATTGAACTACAGGAAATTTATTTAAGGTTATAAACATATGCTTTATACATCCATGAAATGATTTTATATTTCACTTTTCCTTTCACACAAGTACAATGAGGTAGTTTTATAACAATGTCATTGATTAGATGGATTTTAAATAATTTTTCAAACTTAAAAATTATTTTAAAAGCTTTCATTTAGTTAGTAAATTTCATTTAATTACTTAGAAAACATGCGAGTTACATTAAATAATATTAGTTTTGAAAAATTATTTTTTATAATTTTTTTGCCCCTCTCCGTTACCTTCAACAACTTTCTGTATTAGATATTGATACTAAAATTCTCCGGTTTCCAACGATATATTAAACGTATACCTTCTGATTAGTATTTCCGGAGATTCATTTATGACCTGGATAAGCATTTTCATTTTTTCTCCTTTATTCAATTATCAAATTCTTTCAAAAGTTATATTTAGCATTTTTTCGTAACTCTAAATAATATGAGATGATTAATTATTTAAAATAAACCATATTAAAGGTACTTTAGAGGAAGACGTACATGAACATTGGGCATTTAAGCTCTATAAAGTGCCATCAATGGGGATAAGACCTAATTGATATTAAAGAACACTTAATTGTACAATGATACACTGAGTTTACAAAATCGTTAGAGCCGTTTTTGAGAAAATTGTAAAAGTGTGTTTCAGCGTTGATATACAGTGGCACTTCCAGTCAGCCAATTTTAACGAAAAAGTTGCTGTCACATCTAAGATATATACCTATCTTAAAAACATAATATCAGTTTTGTTCGACTTTTCGTTTTTGAGCTAGATTGCTAACGCACACACACACACAGACCATTTTGTGGGACTTGATTATTTGGACTCAGGAGACCTCAAAACATGTATTTCATTGAAAACTCAGATTCGAAAATTTTCACGATCAGCCTCAAGTACTTTACTAGCGAAAGGTTGATACAAACTTCTCACATTCCAAGATGCTGGTTTTAGTAGTTCTTTTGCTCGTGACTGTAGTAACTATAAATCCATCCAGTTATTTTTTTGTTCCTGTTTCATAGCAATGATTTTTTTGACAGCGTAGGCATCCTATGACCACCTCCAGTCATGTAGGACCAGGATTTTCTTTAGGATTGACTCCCTTAACATTGGAACATCGTACAAGTCCCTAAGGCAGTAGTAGAGAGATATGGATGGGAAAAGGAGGATGAATAGGGTCAGTAATAGATAGATGATAGAAAGGAAAATGTATTAAGGTCAACAGACAGTTGTCGCCTTTTACAAGCGGTTAAATACTGTGGACCTATTCTATTATCTCTGCACCCATAAGGAGACAGAAGTAGGTATTCTGAACATTAATAAAGGACAATAAAGAAAAATTAAAATATAACGCTTAGTTGATATACTTACCGCTCTTATTTCATTATCTCTCAAAGAGCTGTGGTTAGCATCAATAATTATTACAATCTTAATTTTGGTATTAGTGACATATCCAAATCTTTATTTTGGTAAAGGTAGATATCTTGGTTACATGTGAGTAAAACATGATGTACACACATGTTTAAGTATTTGATAAAAATTTATGATAGACTTTGTTGGTAAAAATAAATTATGAAATATTAATTAAATGATGTTATGGTTAGCAGTGAATATTTTGATGCTGATAAGAAATCACTAACATAGACATAATTAAATAGATATTGATTACTCACAGCAAAAGCAGTGAGACTTAATCTATAATAACACTGTCGGGGACAAATCAATTCTGCATTGAAAGGATAAGATTATAGCTAAAAGATGGTTCATAAGATACAATTACTTTGATAAAAGATAATGCAAATTTTGAGTAAATAACTGCATTAATAAGTATTGAGGGTAGGCAATGAAAACATCCTGATTCCAAGTAGATAAATTGTAAACGAAAAAAAAAAAATAAGAGTTTACAAAATAAACTGATATAAGTATAGTTCCTATAGTTTTTACAACTTGGTAAAGGCCTTAGTTATTTATAAATTACAATCAATGCTGTAACAAATCTCACTTCGTAGAAAGAGTTCCAAGACTAGAGTTCTATCATTTTAACACACTGGTAGAGTTAAGAGGTTTTCATTGCCTATCATTAATACTATTGCCATAAATTGATAAATCACTGCCTACTTTAAGTTGAAAAATTATAATTACCAGTTTTCATGAAAATCATTCAATAAAAGAACTCAAAACAGCAACTTAGTAAGTGGATTTACTTACAAGGTATTGATCTCATCAAATATAAACATTTTGTAAAAAATTATGCAATAATTTCAAAAGGATACATCTTATGTTCTTCTGTTGCATAGAGTAATCCCAAATAAAGTTCCCTGGTATCATTCACAGTTTTCACTGAACTATTTAACTTCTCTTCTATAATATCTAAAGAGGTGTGGATTTTATAATGGAAATCAAGTTCCTTCTCATAATCTAAACAAGTAATGTATTTTGGAGCATTCTACAAAGAAATATTTCCAATTTAAAAAAAATACCAACAGTTTATTAACAAAATTAAAGTTTTTCTTTTTTTAAAAACCTCTTTTCCGATGAGAGAAACGCATACAGCCATATTAATGTTTCTTAAATCATTAACAGAAGCATGAGGAAAATCTGAGACTTGACATTTAAACAATATAACAATAAGAAACCTCTTCAAACGAATCACTAACGAATGAAGACACATAGGCCAAAGGCTTCCAACCAACAAACCATCGAAGTAGTAGCATTTCACGGTAGTAACTATGCTGAGAATAAAATCACAAGTTAATTAAACACTAAAATGTGTAAACATTAAAATGTTTCCTATTCAGCGATTTTTAAACTTTTTTTGATAAGGCGTCTGTTTCCTCTTTAAAAAAAGGTGCAACACCATTGTAGAACTAAAACTAATTCACACCACAGATATCCTTATGAGGCACTAGCGGATCCAGGATTTAATTTTGGGGAGGCTTCAGACCAAAAGCTATATATTTTTTTAAATATGACGATAATTACTTTGGAAAAAAAGAAAGATACTAACCAGAGGTGCCCCTCCTAAGGCGATGGCGCAAGAACCTCTCCTCCCTTCTCCTTAGATATTTTATTACTCACTTTCTTAAAAACAGAACAGCTTAGGTAGAATTAGAAAATTCGTAGATAGTATACAATTACACTTGCTGAGCTATGTTCCATGTTTTTTTCCTATCCCTTAGTCAGAAAATTCATAGCCCCGTCACAAATTGCCCCCCTCAAAAATTCATAAACCACTTAAAATATGCCCCCTCAAAAATTTTAATGGCACAACTTGGGCCATGAAACCCCCATCTGGACACCCTTGATACTAACTAACTATATGAAATGGTGTTTAAGTGATTCTTGAAGTCCTATTAAATGTAATCAAACGAACAATAATACTTTAAGAGATAATTTTTTACCATCAACACGGTTACATTTTCCATTTTTTTGAGGGGGAGAGGAAAGGAGGCTTCAGTCTGAAAGCCCTTCCCCATAAATCCGCCTATGCATAAATATACATATAAAAAAATAAGCAAAAATGTCATATTTTTGGTTTATATACATACATACATACATTAGCGGATCCAGGATTTAATTTGTTGGGGGGGGGCTTCAGCCAGAAAGCTTTTTTTTCATATATATAACGATAATTACTTTGGAAAAAAAAGAAAGATAATTATTATATGAAATGGTGTTTAAATGATTCTTGAAGTTCTATTAAATGAACAATAATACTTTAAGAGATTACGTTTTACCATAAACATGGTTAAATTTAACCATTTTGGGGGGAGCTTCAGCCTGAAAGCTTTCTATGCATTCCTTGGTTTTAATTGGTGGTGGTGATATATAGGGCCTTATAACTACTGTAAGGCCCAATCTCCACCTTCTTATTACGAAGGAATCCTGATACTTTTTGGGGTGTTGGGCTAATTTTTTTTAAAGTCATATTAGGGATTAATTGGAAAAAAATAAAATAGTTTAGGAGTAAACATCATCCTGCACTCATAAATAAGTTGGCATTTTTTATGGAACTGCTTCAATTTCTTCTTTTTTGTTTATCAGATTTAATCTTATTACTTAAGTGTAATTTTACCTCCCAAGGAGAAATAATTTTTCAAGCATGATGGGCCTTTTACTCCCACCTTTTATAAATCTGCTTTTACAGGCTAGATAATTATGATTCTATTGTCCAATAGGATTATCATTCTTCTTGGAAGTCTTTTCCCTTTCATTTATTCTGTCTATTCACCTCCCACCTAATTTTCTTCCCAAGCCACAAACTTTCCTGCATACATAGAGTACGATTTCTTCTAAATCATTGTACATATCTATTAATCTGGAGAATGGGATGGCCGAGAATGTCGGGACGTGGGTTCCAGAGTACTCGGTCCTGAATATTGTGGGTTCGACTCTCACATGGGTCGGTTACTTTTCATTTCTCAGCGGCCCCAGGAAATGAACCGTGACATTCCCACTCTGTGAAGTGCGTGATGGTAACCTCAAGGCAGCTGCGAGGGATTGGCAAAAAAAAAAAACAACATAGGCCCACTTGCCGGACATTGTCCCCTCACCAGTATCTAGTTATCTGATATTTACACAGTGAAAGTTATCCTCAAGAGGTAAAACTCAGATGTTCTAACCATTTCTGCAGCCTTCCACTTGATTCAATAAGCTGCTTTATTTTAGTTGATTTGAACCTTATAAAAGATTAAAAAGGAACCAGAGTGAGTTGTTTGATTGAATTTTACAAAGATTATTTCCTTTAAGATATCTATTTTAGGAACAAACGATACTAGTGACCCAGAAGTTTTTGCAGTCATTCACAGAAGTATTATTCCGTCAATATTATGGCCTGTTATGTGAGTTATATAACCAAATCCATGGGTTACCAAACTGGAATCGTTTACAAACAATTCTTGGATCCACAAGCAGGATTAACATTTCTTCTTTATTTCTTTTGCTACAGTTGTTGATGCTTTAGTATGGTGAGGAACAAGTGTTAATGTAACTACCTCCATGACCACTTCACGAGAACTAGCTACTAAAATCCTTGATTCAAATTGAATCGTGAGGAAAATACCTGTATTCGGAATATACCATAAAGAAGGATACATTTAGAATAAGTTTAGTCATAAAAAAAGAAAATACAATTTAAGAGTTCTTATAAGTTTAATTCATTTCATAATTATGATTTAATTTTTTTTAGGTATAAAACATTTAAATCTTTTGTAAATCTGAAACATACTGGATTTTAATTATATATGAATCAAAATAGCTGATTCACTAATAATATATTTTAGCAGTCAACAACAATATATATATATATAAGTGGTTATAATTATTATATAAATATATAAAAAAGCACAATTAGCAGATTATTTGAAATAGCTTGGCCAGAAAATATAAATAGAATACCATATAAATCGTACAATTGAAAATACATTAATTAATGAATAAGATTGATAATTATCAAACATTTTTTAATTTAATGAGTAATAGTTATAAATAGATTAAACTAGATAGATATTCTATTAATTTTCTCTAGAAGTGTAACACCAATTAGGAAGTATGCAGCATTTCAATCGTTCATCAGCATTCAACACACTAATTATTACCATATTTAATCTTATTAAACAAGGCACCTATTTCTAGAAAGAATCACCCCTATATTTATATTTCATATTATAATGTCAAAAGACACTAATTATACTAAATAGAAATCTTTGTCAAAAACTATCATTAACTATGTAACAAGAGTATGAAAAACAGTTTACATCTAACAAGCATAGACTAGAGATTGATAGGAAAACAAATATTAAAAAAGCAATCACACAAAACTTTAAATGATAACAATAATAAATATTAACATAAAACATTTCAGTTTTAATACTGCATTTTATAACTTAATACCTTTTTAAGGGAATAAAATAGTTATTCTGGTAAAAATATTCCTTTTCAGGACAATTCAATATACAAAGACTAATATTAATATCACACTTCATTTTCATAAAAATCAGTACTTAGTAAGCATAATAAATCTAGAACCTTTTTTGGTGATTAATAAATTTATCTCCCATTTATCACACCTCCCTCTCGCAATAAAATATAAATGAAAAAACACCAATCCACCGACTTATTCCAAACCTATGGAACATCTAAATCAGTAGAGAAACGAAGCATAGGCTATGGCCGAAGTAGGGGTTCATCTGCAGGATCATTGGGCTGATTTCGTTGAATTTGAATATCCTCTTTGCCCCTAAGGCATCCCTGTAACAAAAACTTTTAAATTTCTGAACACAAATAAAAAAATAATATTTACTAATAAAAAAATATACCATCAAATGCTGCAAAGGGTTCCTCCAAAATTCATGATGAGGTACTTGTTCCCAACCTTTTGCACCTTCAGAATACCTTTTGTAAATGATGCCACACACAAAATAGGCAACAATTAATACAAATATAACGAGAAACCATCTGGAATGAAAAGAAAAGATAAGATGATTTTTTTTAAAAATTGTAAATGATGAATCTTTTCTTAAAGTACTGTCCTTAATAATCCTATTAATTAAAAAGACTCACAAAAAATTATTTTTTGAAACATTAAAAATTTTAAAAACGTCTTACCTATCAATTATAATATTAAAAGAAAAATCTATATATATTTTCATCATAGATTTAGAATTTATGTTTATTTATTGTTAATGATACTGATATAGAAATATTCTAAATAAAGAAGAGATGTTGATTTTTAACAATTATTGGAATCAAGATTTCTTAAAATATTTCTGTAATTTGCTTAACTACCCGTTTCAATCTACTCGACCTTTATCAGACTAAAAAAAACAAAAATAATTATGAAAAAAAATGTATAAGTAAAATTGAAAATATTGTTGCCGATTGTTCATAAGCATTCAGTGTAGCTAATGAATATTTAATTGCTTATATTTCAAATTATTATTCTAATAATTTAATGAAATCATTCTTTTTCTTTACATTATACAGATAATATTTGTTTTATATAGACTAAGCCCATAAGAATTCATACTACTGAAGAACTAAAGTATAAATACCAATAAAATGTGACTTACGTTAGAAATGTTGAATTTCTTGCAGGGGCACATACAGATGTTTTCAAATGGAAGAGTGCAAAACATCCACCATTTAATGGATCCAATAAATCAATATTAATCTTTAAAAAAAAAATTAATCAAACTATAAACTCTGATTTAAAGAATGAATCTTATTTAATTTTAGAAATACATCTATTTTTTATTTCCCTTACCTCATCAGCAATCTCATTGCAAGAGATAACAATTAAGGTTTTCCAATAGCTATTGTTGCAAGTTGAACTATCATTTATCTTGTCTCCTCCTGAATAAGTGAGAAGCATCTGATGATCTAAGATAAAAAAGAGAAAATTAAGAAAAGGAACTCATTTTGCAAGTCATGTCGTAAATGTAATATTTACTGAAATGTAAATGATTTAGCCTGGTAAAAAATATTTTACAGTATAAATTATCAAATAGTATTTAACAGTAAAATAAAACTTAGAATCATGAAGGTAACACGTCATACAGATCCATTTATATACAACAGAATGCAGTCCACACATTATTCCTTATAACAGCTAACATACACATATGTTCTTAAAAAATATATATTCATTAGATTTCATAAAACTATTTTTTCATCATATAGGAAAGGAGATCTATTCAATTCATAAACAAATACAAGAGATACATTCAACTTATTAAAAACTTAGATTTTTCATTTTCAATTTTTAGTTCTTTTTGGCTTTAAGACTTGCCAAAGCAAATCCTATTTTGCCTAATAAGTTGCTTATTGCTTTAATTACATTAATCAATTTTTTCTTAAAATAAAAATTTGTAAGATCCAGTTTTAAAATCAGTTCAGTTATTTTCCAGTCATGAAGGATACTTTGAAAATGCAGTAGAAAAATACATATCGTTCATTCAGGATGAAAGAGGCCCAATTCAAAGTTGTTAACAACTGAAATGTTTACGGTTGTAATTCTATAACCCCAAAATTAGATACAAGATAATACCAATTAACACAAAAGGTGAACTACCAGTAAGATGTGTTACACGAAACACCCTGAGGACCTCTATATAGAATGTTTCCTCTGTCATTAGACAGGAATATTTTAGCATTCCTTCCATTCTCTTGCTTATTGAATCTTATATTATTTTCAACATTGGTGGTTATAAACTAAACCAACAAACTAACATTACTAACCTCCTAAGCCGATTATATCAGTCTCATTGTAACGTCCTAAAACAGTAGCTGTACCATTAGCTATGACAGTACGAGTAACACTTGCATTTGGATGTTTGCCTTTAGAAAAGTCATAACAGATTGATACAACATAAGAATAATGATCACTGCTGCTAACAAACCTAGAGAATCAGTCACTAATTAGTAAAAATTTTGAGTTTACATTTGAAGAAAGACACTTTAATAACTTACTTTGAACCTTTTAGCAGTGATATACTATTCAAGAGGTTGCTTTTATGTGAATCTTTCGGGTTTTGTAAAATGCAATCTTCACCAGAAACTTCATATCTAATTGTAAAGCACATAAAAAGTAGTAAGCAAGGGAGTATTTTTTCAGACCAATCCATGGCTCGAAATAACGGAAGATATTTAAAATATAGAAATTTGAAGTGTCAAAAATAAAATAATACAATTTTAAAATCCAAAAACAGACATTTGTAAGCCAAATAAATAAAATATTTCAGTTTCAGCACAAGGTTTTCTGTCTTGTTTATATTTGGAAGAGATTAATTCCAAAGAGCAACTTGGTTGTTAAGAGAAACGAAGCAGATATTATTATTATACATTTTATCAGGAAAGGAGTAAACGTATACTTTAAACGGTTTTGATAAGTTATTTCAATTTTATAGATGATGACGCTGCCACAATTTCCTGACGATAGCTTATCCTCCTTCTTTGAACCTGAATTGAGGGATAATTGAGTAAAACGCATGTCACCTGTTTCATGAGTAACGATATGTGTGCCTTATGTCGGATTGCCTTACCCTCAAAAACTCTTGAAGATCTTTACAATTTACATATTTATTATACGTCAAATGCTTTTCTTTTCTTTGAGAACGAAAAACGAATACATTTTAAGGTATTTGAGATCGCCAACGGGTATCGAACTATCTTCGCACATTGAAAATCAATCATTCTTAATTTTTATACCAGTATGCTTCGGATTTCAGTGTCTTGCTGGAATACACATTAGTCCCTTATCCCTATATTTTCTGGCTCTTATTAGATTATGGTGCAAAATGACCATATTGCTCTCTGCATAAAATCTTCCCTCAGTAAACACGAAGTTTCTCATTCTCTGATATAAAGATACTCCCATACCATAATATGACCACCGCCATGTTTTACTGTATCGGAAAGATTTTGCTTTTTAATTTTTTTTTTTATCCCCTGCTCCTTAAATACTCATTCGACCATCAGACCCAAATAAACTAAACTTGCTTTCATCAGAAAATATGTTGCTTTCCCAAAAGCTAAGCAGTTTATTTAAATATTTCCCTAGAAAAACAAGGTCAGTTTTATCTGTTTATTGAACTTGTATATGGTCTCAATATCTGATTGTTTTCGTGTATCAATATCTGATTGTGACAAAATATTGCGATCGTGAAAATGATCGAATCTGAGTTTTCAAGGGAAATACATATTTTGAGGCCCCCTGCGTCCCAAATAACCAAGTCCCACAAAGTGGCCTTTATGTGTGTGTTGTATGCGAACAGCCTAACTCAAAAATGAAAAATCATACGAAACTGAAATTGAGTATTTAAGGTTTGTGCATTCCTGTGATGTTACAGCAACTTTATCTCTAAGATTTTACACATTTTTCTCACCTACTACAAATATAAAGTAGGTCTTATTCTCATTGATGTTCTCTAATAGGGTTAAAATGTCTAATTTAAAATAAAAAAAAATCGACTAAAGTACCTTTAATTTTTTTATTTTAAATAAATGATATTGGAATGTGATATAAAAAATAACTGAATATAATGAATGAAGGAAATTGATTGATAACTATAGATGGGTAAGCTATACGATAAATAAGGGTTGGAAGTAATATAGAAACAGTCGAGAGCGCCCGACCTTTGCCGATCCTCTCCTTTACAGATACCCGATACAAGACAGAAGATGGAGTCCACGCACTTTACGATAGGGAGAGGATTTCCACCAGCAGCTAAGGAGGAAGAGGATCAGCAGAGGCAACAAGAAGATCAAATTGCTGTAGGCAGTGAACCAGGAGGGCAGGACGTGCATCCACCTGCAGACTAAGGTCCGTTCCAATCAGTAAGGCGCACACCCGGGTACCGAGCTGCACCACAGTGCAAAACCATTAAAATTGAATTAAATTAAAAAATAAATAAAGTCTTATTGGCAGCAGTAGCCGTATTCGCAAAGTATTAACCTACTGCTGCCGAAACCCCGTATGACAAATATACCAAGTAGGAGAGGGAAAAAAAAATACCCGATACCACTATGTACAGGAACTTCCATATTGTTAGTTTAACTTTTATATATCACTTATCCATAGAGTATACCACTTATCCTTTCGACGAGTTTCGTAATAAATGTTAACAGTCGTAAAAGGAAATGAAAAGTGATGCGAACAGATACATTTAACAGATTCGATGGATGGAAAAACGTGATAATTATTTGTTTTAAATGAAGTTATACCGTCGTTTTCACTTTCATTTCCCTATACATGAAAATACCTATCTACTCTAAGGTTGGTAAGTGAAAGTAGTGTGATGCGCGCACCGCACCAAATTTGTTTAAACATCATAACGATTGAAATATGGAGCTTCAAACATAGTTGAATCTAAATTATTTATTTATTAAATTAAACTGAGCTTCAATATGAATCCCAAGTCCTTATTTTCGTTCTTCTCTTAATTCTATTTGGCCAATCATTACCAAGTGGTACGCATTAATTAAGTTGATTATTTTTAATATTTATTAAAAACATTTCGTATGCTGACCCCTCCATGTTTTCTTATACCGTTTATAAATGACAGCCATTTTTCTTCGGTTCAACGGCACAATTCTAGTAAATATAAGCACTTACAGTTTCGTTAACTTCAAGTCTATGTGACTTGAAAAGATCAATCAAACACCATTAATATTTTAAGCCAAAAGTGTACTCCGAGCACAATTTATCCCTTTTTCTAATTTGATAAAAATTGGTCGGAAGTTTAACGCTCAAATTTAAAAAATAACTTTTTTTTAAGGGGAAGAGTATTATAAACAACTTACATCTTTGTGTCTAAGGTTATATGCCTGATAATGGGCCATCCAGAATAAATTTAAATAATTCTAGAAGTATTCTTGGTTTTTCATCACTTCTTAAAATTGACATTGTTCGATTTTTTGAAAACTTAAGGTTGAGTATCTCCTCCGATGGGACTGGAGTTGCTATCCATAATTGCCCAGGTTTCAAACTAAAGGGACTTCTAGACTATTACTTTTTCGCATTTTAATTAATTTAACTTTGACTGATTTATTTTTTATTACCAAACCTATAAAAATATACGACTTGCAGAATTGAAATACACAAAAAGGATATTTATATCGATGCACAGTTTTCAGCACACCTAGACCCATTACTAATATGCCAAATGATTTTCGTAAAGGTTTGTAATATTAGCAAATTACAGCAAATAATTATTGAAATTGTTTATAGCTAAGCACCTGTTGCATATCTGAAGGTTTTCTTTCATGTTTTAGTTGGAATACATGAGGATTTAAACCAAATAAACAAACAGTTATCTATCTAGCTATGATAAATCCTTAATCAACTGACAATTCCACGCAAAGGAAATTTTACTCTGTTTACGATCAAGAATTAATACTTTTCCATATTAAAATCCATACAAAGTAATAGTGGTACCAAGACGTCAAAAATCCTGGATTCAGAATTCAATTAAACTTCTCAAATTTGTTCGAAATAATCTAAATAAAAGCAAATTTCTTTAAGACTACGTTGATTCTCCATTAAATTAAAAGAGATTTGTAGAAATTCCAATCTACTGCAATAATGGAGTTATCTAGTGATTGGTTTATGGGAAGTCGAAGGTTAATTTCATAATGATTATCAATACTAACAGAGCCAAGAATTTTATGGGTTCAATAGCTATTAAACTAAGTTGGTAACTGTAAAAACGTATTTTTCTTTTCATTACATTTTTGTCATGCAAATTTAATGCATATTAATCAAACTATAATTAGTAATCTTGTCAGATCGATCTGGTATGATGGACATGCAGGTATTCCAAATTTAATATGAAGATTGTTAGGATTCCGTTGGAATCGATAGCATCTTGTCCTTGGTCATTAACTCGGATTATAACAAAGTAATTACTCTAAATTTTCATAAAATAAATTGTCATACTATTAATAGTGATAATAATATTAATTGAGCTTAGCATGGCCGAAGCTGGTATTAAGAACGTATAAACCTAACTTATATCTTCACAGAATACAATAAAAAAATTGTCAATATTTAAAATATTTTAGTTTTTTTTGGCATGAGAAGGACGTTCAATTCGAAAGGGACTCTGGCAATTAGAAAAAAAAATCTGGTGTGTCCACTCACACAACTTTTCTACCTATTTTGAGAAAAGTTTTTATATCTTCACATATGGCCATCAAGAAAAAAAAAAAAAAAAAAAAAGAATAAGATTTATTTTCCTGAAAAATGATCAAAGAATAGATTTGAGTACGATTTATTTGATAAATTAAAGCAATGTAAACTGGCTTAAGATAGATCAGTCTAAACATTTCAATTTGCAATAGCCTAATTTTGTCAAACAATAATTTATGTTAAAATTAAGGTAATAGTGGAGCTTGTGTGATGCAGGCAACAGATTTTCTTACTTTCAATAAGCTATGTTTTTTCTCTCGTTCATCCCTTTCTGACACCAGGATATGTACCTGTAATCTTACATTGGAAATTGAATAGCTGTAACTTCGTTAATATTTATCCGAAATGAATGGTTTTTATAGGGAATTTCAATTCACGGAACTCTGAAACGTGTAGATCCATCGAAAATCGCATATCGGAAATTTGACCCGATCGCAATACTTTCCTTACCTAGTACAGGTGGGAAAGTAATAAATTAAAACATATGTAGAAAATAGAATACGCTGTATCATCGCTAATACTGGTTCGATTCCGATGATTTTTTTTTTTGTTTTGTTGGTGATTTAGTAATCTTTCAAAAGTTTTATTATAAATTTTACCATAGAATATATATTTAGCGAATTAGGCCCAAAACATGTTTCTTTTCTTTATAACTTTTTTCTTGAATTTTTTGGGGAATTTAATCCATGTACGGAAATTGAAAATACAATTATTAGAACATTATAGGAAAGTTTCATCAAAATCGTTAGAGCCATTTTCGCGCTACAGTCTATAGAAAAACATGTTTTTAATTTATTGCGCAGGAGCTATTGCGCATGGAGCACACGATTTCTGTCACAGGTATCAGTAGTAAAAAAAAACTACAAAATAAAAAAAGAAGCAACAAAATCGGTTCAGTAGTTCCCAAGAAAATCTTATTTCATCTTAGACCCAAGAAAAGAAAGACAGACAGACCAATGGATAAAAATGTGTTTTTCGGACTCAGGGGGCTCTGGAACGCATAGATCCGTTGAAAACCGCATATTGGAAATTTGACCCGATCGCAATACTTTCCTTATCTAGTATAGGTAGGAAAGTAATCTGGTGCTTGCAACACACAACTTTCACTTACAGCTCTACTTTGAATAGAAATTATTTTCTGGCAATGTTGGACTATTATTATAAATTTTTTTAAGTGCATTATTAACGGAGCTACAGCTTAAAACTAACAACTAACAAGTCATTTAGACCACTAACATAAAAAAAAGCCCTATTAATTACATCAACGGTAGGCAATAAAACCCTCGATGCTCCATCTGTTTTTGTAAACTATTGTTTCGAAGAAGAAACACTGACAAAAAATCATTTTAACGGCGTACAATATTTTTATTTCAAAGATATAAAATCCATCAAAAGACTTAATGATTTAAATTTATGAAATGTTACTTAGTGATTTTTGTAATAATCCGACGATATATTTTGTTTATTAAATCGGTGAGTAACGAAAAAAACAAAACAACAACCTCAGTTCCAATAAATTTTTGCACGAGGTCATCATTGTGCTGCTGTCTATTTTTTGGGACCTAATATTATTACTTTCAGGGTTTTCCATATTTTAGTTCTTTGGTCAGATGTTCCTCACACCCAATGTGGCCGCATAACAGATCTAAATTTACTACCTAAAAACATATTTTTGTATATTTTGTAATTAGTACTTGGGTAATTAATATTTTGCTAGATAACTTCTTCTTTCTTTCTTGAGACGAATCCTTATTCTTATTACATAGAAAAACAAAAGAAAATAGATCAGAAATAGGTTTTGAATTATCATAACATTTATTAGAAACGTATATTCATTTCCGAGTTTTGATGAGATTTGATGTTTGATGATTCACAGTTAATCAAAAAGGGTTAGTATAGTTATTTTAAAAGCAGAGTTGTAAATAAAAATGATTAAAATAAAAAAGTAGTACTTAATAAAAATAAGTTATTTAAAGATGATTTTCTTTAGTTTATATCTTCAACAAATTCAACATATGTTAATAAAATCTAAAATGGCTTTATTTATAGATAGGTAGTTTTCAAAATTATATGTTGTCCAAAAACAAAATTTGATCCGTTATTATGATTTCTTAACGAAAATTCATATATGAACTTTTGAAAGCGCATTAGTTTCATCTTCAGGCGATGACTTTAGCTGCTACAAAGGCTCATAAGGAACTAAAGTTGGAAAATGAAGAGCTCAAACATTTACTTTTGAAATTGATGTCAAAATATAAAACCTCAGAAATTAAAAGGAACGTTTTGTTAAAGAGAAATGCTCTGTTGATTACTGATAACAAGAATCTGCACATACAGTAATGCATTAGTTATTTTACTGTATAATTGATTGATTATATTTCACATGTGATTTTTTGTGTCAATTTCGTTAAGAATTTATGATTTAAAATAATAAAATTTAACTTATGTAAATGATTACAAAAATAAAATAACTAATTTTTAGTTTTCAAAGAATGCTATAATCTCAACGACTTATTTTTAGGCTCTTAGAAACGACCAAAAGTAAAACCCTATCAGAGAAAGCAGTGGCAACGTATCAAGAAGCCGTGAAATTGTTGAAAAATGAGTTAAAGGAGTTGAAGGTAATGTATTACTTTATGATCATTCTATGTGAAAAGGGAATTTTAACTCTCCGGTGAAAAATCTGGAAGAACTTCAATATATATCAAGACTTCCAGTTTCTTTCCAATGATTTGTGTTTTCGAAATATATGCGTCAATCCGGTCTGTTACTCTCCTTTCTGAAATTCAGATCACTCTATCCTTTTTTCCTAATTGGAAAGTCATCGGTTGAGAGAGCAGTGGGGAGGGAACGATCGAAAAACTGAGCATAAAACAAAAAATTAAATCTGTCGTCGATCTTTGAGAAACTTCTCTACAAACGACTTCTTGACATACTGACTACTGAAAACATAATACCTGAACATCAGTTTGGATTTCGTTCACACCACTCAACCATTCATCAGCTACACCGAGTGACAGACTACATTGCGACAGCACTAGAGCACAAATTATATGCAACAGGAGTATTTCTGGATGTTGCTCAAGCGTTCGATAGAGTCTGGCATCAGGGACTTCTTTTCAAACTTAAGACTATACTCTCTCCAACCTACTATCTTATTCTTCAATCTTTTCTTTCTGACAGATTTTTCTCTGTTTGCCAAGGTACAGAACTATCTACCATTAAACCAACCCTAGCAGGAGTGCCTCAGGGGTCAGTACTCGCTCCTCTGTTGTATATTATTTACACATATGATATTCCAGATCCTCTCGATACTCTGACCGCGACTTATACAGACGGTACAACAATCTTGACAAGACATCAAAATTCAACATACACCTCACAGACTTTACAATATCACCTAAACAATTTCTACGACTGGTGCAAACTCTGGAAAATTCGACTCAACCTAGACAAATCACTACATATCACTTTTACCCTTCGACGTGAAACTTGCCCCCCTATTTACCTTGACAATATCCAAATTCCTCAGACAGACAAAGTTCAATATCTTGGACTGACCTTTGACAGAAGAATGACATGGGGCCAACATATCAAAAACAAAACAAAAACTCTAAACCTAAGACTACGCCTATTGTACTCACTCCTTGCAAGAAATTCGAAATTAAAACTTAGACAGAAATTGAATACATATACTTACCTACTCAAGCCTATTTGGACCTACGCTTTACAGATATATGGGACAGCCAAAAAGACTCACATACGTAAATTACAGACTTTTCAATCTAAAACTTTCAGAACTATCACCAAAGCTCCCTGGTACGTCAGTAACATTACTCTACATAAAGAATTACAGATGCCAACAGTAAACGACCACATACGAACATACTACAAACGATTTCATAATAACTTACACGGACATACAAACTCATTGATTCGAGGCATGGCCACAACTAACATGCCCGATAGCACCCGAAGGAGGCTTAAAAGAAGCTGGATGAGGGATCTCCTCCACTAACTATAAATATTACGCTCAAGACAGGAAGGACGCTGCTGGGTACTCCTCTCCCTCACGCCTATTCCAAGACCAATCTCTTCATCTTGACATCACACTCGCTGATTGTCGGAACTTCTGACAGGTGTGAGTTGAAGAATCAAGTTAAAAAAAAAATCTGTCTTCGCGATGGACGAAGACACTTGCATTGCGTAGTTTTGATTTCGCATCGTCTACAACGGAGATCTCGAAGCTTCTTGGACCACAGACCACATTGATACCTTGAATCAGTTCCGCGAGCCGCATTGAGACTTTCAATCAAGTCCCACGGACCATGGCTTGTGACGAAAAAAAAAATATTTTTCAATAAATGACACTTAATGCTGTACAATGAGCTTTCTAAGAGAAAAAAAAATGCGATAAACATTGTAGTAATCTAGTGCGTGAGTAATTCGCTAAATTTCATACGTTTAAAATGTTAATATGTAATCAAAGAAACTTTCTCCTGCCGGGTTGAAAGTGCTTGCGGAGTTTAGTTTGGAGACCTCTGGTATACATCATTCCATCAGCTAATGTCCAAACATGTACCTAGAAATGTCCTAATCAAATAAAGATTTCAGCGCTATAAGAATAAGCCTCAACAAATATCAGTTTTAAGAAATATAGTCTCTTTTACGCCCGCAGGCATTATTCATTGATCTAAACCGATTTGTCACTGTCCTTAAACGCGAGTGAGTCGGTGACAAGGACACTGCCAGATTGGCCCGAATGGATCGGATATGGTGCTATGGATGGCCTGCCTCTGTACCATGGAGACCATGGTCTGTAGCAACAAGAGGTTGGGTGACCCCTTCAGAGTCTATCTGTGCTCCCGTGAGCAATAACATTCTGTAAGAAGACATAACGCGGTCAATTATCATGAATATTATGGATTTTGTTCCTATTTATCAATGAAAAAGCTCATTGATTGCATTAAAATAACAATTCATAATTATTTAAATCTATAATTGGTTTTGAAGTTATTATACTGTAATAAAGTTAATTTACCAAACATATGTTTTTCCCATCCGTAAACTCTTTTTGAATCATTTTAATAGCATATACTTCTTCATCTCACAAAAATACATTATAATTAAAAAAAAAATATTGAGTAATATAACATTCTGTAATTTGGGCAATGCTTAAAGTGAGCGAAGACTACATTCACCCTTACAAAAATACATTAAAATAATTCTTTTAAACAGTTGTAGTTTCTCGATTTGGTGCATTATAATTATTTTTTAGTCAAGCTTAAAATAAAATTAAAAACTTTGTATTAATTTTCAACAGTAAATCCATTTAATTTCCATGGAAACACTTTTTTTTTTTACTATTCAATAAAAAAAAAAAATGTTTCCATGGAAATTAAATGGATTTACTTATAAATGTGAATAAAACTTTTAAGATTTCTTTTTTTTTTTTACGTATTAGTCTATTTTAAAAGAAGACAATATGAACGACAATAAATTTATCAATATATCATACATATACGTGTATTTATATATCGTCTCCTATTCATGGAAATTCGTTTTGAAACTGGAAAAATATTTTTTATTTATTCGATTTTTAGTTAATTATAAAATTATTTTATTTCTATTTAAAATAAAGTTCTTCTGTGTTCCTTTACACTCTGGAATTTTCATAAATGAACAGGCTAATGAACAGACAAATCAGCCAATAAGGCGAGAAGGGAAAAAAGCAATGTTATAATTAATGAAATCTCCACGGAAGATTTTTTACAACATATTAAGAAAAAATTGCGGAAATATGGCAACAAAAAGAAACTAAATTAAAAGAAATAAAAAGCTACTGTTCCAAATGGAAAACTTGTAACCAAATCTCTAGGAAAGAAGAGACAGCCCTGTGCCGATTAAGAATTGATCATTGTGAATTTTCACATGCCTATTTACTAAGAGGACTGAGGAGCATTCGCTTACGCTGTAGGCCGAGGAGCATCGGTTGGAAGCCATGCCTAGCCTTAACTAGCCTCCAACCTAGCTCTCCAGCCTGGGTAAGACCAAGGGATGCAGGTACACAACCGGTGCCCACGGAACGGACAGTATCCTACACTCAAGCTTCCGACCACTCGTCTGTACACCATACCAGATGACTAGCCTGAACGACGTCAAGATTAGCTGAACACTGGTGTCGTGCAGCGTGTAGTCGTAAACACACGACCGCCACGACCGAGCAGTGCAAGCACTCTCCCCGTCCACCCAAAGGGCGGCCAGGGCTCCGGCGACGCCCCATAGTACCAATTTGGTCAGGAAGCACTTCTTCCCTGACCTCAGAGCACAATCGTGCTCTGAGACCAATCGGTCTCAGGCTCCGCAATCTTACGATCGCTACGGTTTTAAAAGTTATAAAAGAAAGACACTTTGAAAATTCGACATTTAAGTACTTTAAGAGTCTTTCAATGAGGATAAGATATGTAAAATCGATGATACAAAGTCGCATTAGTCGATGTCGGTTAGTCGATTGTAAGAAAAAACTACGCATATAGATAGATAGATAGGAAAAAAAAACTTTATTCTGGTACTAAGTCCCTTCAGAATAACAATAATGTACAAAATAATAGAATATTACTGGCCTAAACGTTTGAAACAATAAATACAATTGATAAAATAAAATAAAAAGTAAAGAAAACCTTAGGTGCACAAGCTATATACAATACAGATAAAACTAAGTACAGAGCATTTAAAATTATGAATAAAACAATTAAAACTATCAACGAATCACTTGAACTATGAACAAAATTATATATAAGGGTTGAACAACATAAACATACACTTTGAGAAATGAAGAACGAAAAAGAGATACAATGAGTTCATTTCATAAAATAAAAAACTTTACTTGAATATATATATATATAAAAATGAACAGTTAATTATAATTGAATAAAAAAAAAAAATGTATGTATTGAAATTCCTACGTCGATAGTAGGAAATGCATGTACTACCTCTTACCAAGTATTATGATTATATGATTGCTACACAATACATATATAATATTAATAGTTAGCTGGTATCTGACTGTTTTTGGAACTGGAATTGGAATAGGAGGTTTTTGAATGTGTATAGGGAAGGGGCATGTCGAATTTTGATGAGGAGGGAATTCCAAAAGTTGACAGAGCGGGCTATAAAGGAATTTTGGAATGAGGCAGATCTATGAGAAGGGATGTATAGGTCAGAGGGTCGGGATCTTGTTGTGAGGGAATGGATTGAGGACTTAAATTAGATTATATACTTACTTTAAATACATAATTTCGGTTCCGTAGTAATTTTCGTTTATGAACAAGGCATATATATATATATATATATATATATATATATATATATATATATATATATATATATATATATATATATATATACATATACTCTTAGAGACTATTTTGCGAGATTTGGATGTTTGAACTCAGAATACCTCAAAACGTGTTTCTGTTGAAAAATCATAGTCGAAAATTTTTACGTTCCTAATACTTCCTCCAGAGAAAAAATTGCCCGAAAAATGGAAAAAAAATATTCTTATACCGATTTTTAAAAAGGGCAGGAGGAAGGATTGTAATAACTGTCAAAGAATCTAACTCCTTTAGGTATATTATAAAATTATTGAGGGAAGCTAGTCGACTGTTCTACATATCATGGATGATAAATATTCAGGACGCAGTAATTATAAAATTTGTTTTGTTTGTGCCGACGTTTCGACCCAAACATGTGGGTCATCATCAGGGCGTGGTTAGAGCACTGATGACGACCCTCATGTTTGGGTTGAAACGTCGGCACAAATAAAAAAAATATAATGACTGCGTCCTGAATATTTATCACCCACGATATGTTATAAAATATTCACATTAATCCTAATTTATCGAATAGCGAAACACGCCGAGGAAATTATCGGAGACAACCGATGCGAATTTAGATAGGATCGTTCAATTATTGATCGAATATTTTCTATACTGCAAATATTTGAAAAAAAGTTTGTTTGAGAACTTTACATTAATTACAAAAGGCTTATACATTCCATTGACTGCTAAAAGCTATATAATATTCTAATTGACCTGGAGATTCCAAACAAACTAGAAAATCTAGTTAGGATATGCATGACAGAAACATTCAATAAAGTTAGAACCAGTAATTATGTATCTGAAAGTTTAGGTTCGCTCGGGTTTAAAGCATGATGACTCCCTTTCAACTGTCCTGTTTACTTTAGCATTAGAACATGCCATTAGGGAGGTTATGCTTACCGAAAAAATTTGAATCTTGACGGCATAGTTGGCGCAGTGTAACTAATTGTAAGCCTGAAGACGTTTTAAAGATCTCTATCCAACATATCACCAGGTGGGAGATAAATGTGATCAACTGTCTCAACTTTGTCAATACTGAAACGTAGATTTGTTTCCAGCATAGATATCTAAATATAGTAAACAACAGTATCTTCACAAAACTCTCAGTTCCCCACTTTAAATCTCGATGATGTTTATTATATTCATTAAAAGATTTTAATTATTGCATTTAATTTTTTTTTTTAGTATTCACAGATATTATACCTAAGAATAGTTACAGTTTTTCTGTAAAAACTTGGGGAAGCTGTGAACTGTAACTGCGGTATAATTTCTAAAAACTTACTAACAAAATGCAAAAATTAAAATATTTGTAACAAAATTAGTAGTCTCATGTTTACGTTTTTATCAGCCAATTAGCATTCAGTAAATGTAATGTATTTTAAGAAATTTATTGTTATGATTGGGAGCGGGGTAGCTCAATGGATGAGCACTGACTTACAAAGCTCAAGATTCTAGGTTCGAATTCTGCTGAAGATGAACAGTAATTGTTATCAGCCGTGGATCGGCTTGGAGGCCCCTAGGATATATACCCTACCTCTTAATTATTTAATTAAAGTGAGAAGTTTATAATTTAATTACAGTGGACAATCTTAATTAAATAATTAATTATGGAGGATAAACTGGCGGTTGAGCGTGATCTCGGCTTCTCTGCACAATTGATGGCCTTGTAACATTACTCCATCAAGTAGTACTGAACCCCTGACCCTTCATGTGTTGTAGTGCTGCAGGTTTTTCTTTTTTTTTGTAATGTTATATTTAAATATATTTTCGAAACTTCTACAATTCTCTATATCTTTTTGTATCTTGTCCGTTCTAGCCCTGAAGAAGACATGCAAAGTCGGGTCGAAACGTTGGCTTTTAATAAAATAGATTTGCCACTATTTAGTCTATTGATGACCGCCACCCCGGACCATCTCCTTCCTTGAATATATTCTCGTTCAGTCCTATAATTAGTTAGCTTTTTAATGGAGAAGTTTAATTTTATAATTAAGTCTAATTAATTATATTAATATTATAATTCATCTCCTGCTGTCCCTCACTAGAAGCCGACATTTTGTAACAATTTTAAAATTTATACCTGAGGTAATATATTGTGAAATAAACATCATTGTCTCAGATCATTAATTCATGTTAATCAGATCATTCAATTAATGCTTAATTGACTAAATTAAGTTTGGTATATAATATATATATATATATATATATATATATATATATATATATATATATATATATATATATATATATTTTATTCATACTGCAAAAAAAAAAAGAAATTCGCACTAAATTTGGTGTCTCTTCTGCTTAGGGAAGGTACCCCCTATGAACTCTTTTTGCTCTAACCTTGTTCTTGTTCAATTTTGAGTAGTTAATATCATTTTCAGGCAGAAACATCAAGCAGAGGTGATCAGATGGATAATACTAAATCAACAGCTAAATCTGACTTAAGTAGCCACATGATCACAAGCAAGCCGCTCCAACAAATAGAAGAGAGTGAACAATATTTCGAAGTCAGCGAAGAGAGTCTACGCGATGCACGATCTTATAGCTATAAATCTTACGATAGCCCGCCGCAATCTTGTGCTGGAACATATGTAAGTGATGATATGATGACTGACGCAGAAGTTCCCAGCCCTTCCAGTGGTTCCCAAAAGGACGATTACGTGATGTGCTCTGAAGTGGAAGCATATTATCAAATTCCTGAAAAAAATTTAGGTAACCGCCAAGAAGATTTCAGCAATGACATTACTAGGTAAGCGCAAGATTAAATATGTATGATATACTTCTGTGAGAGAGGTAACCCTCTTCCCCTCCCCTCTCTCACCTCTGTCGTTTCTTCTCCTATACCCATCTCCATCTCTTTCAAATATTACGAGTATTATTCTTTGTTTAATATTTGGCAACAGAAAGTTGGGCTAGGTCTTAAAATCTATCTTCATGTTAATTACAACCAGTGCCGCCTTAAGACGGGACAACTCAGTGGACAGGCTATAGGTGCCCCGGAGCGACGACCTGATGGGGCGCCTATTGGGGGCGCCAGCCAATCTTCAAGGGCGCTCGCCACTTATAAAAAAAAATACGTAACGTATCAAATTTAGCCTGTTAATATAGCAGCTGTATTAGAAAAATATAGAATGGAATAAAATTCAAATATTACATAATATAAAATAGTTTATGAAATCAATGTAATATTTTTAGGGAGAGGAAATAATGTCATTGCCCGGGGAAGCCTAATGTCTAAGGCCGGCGCTGGTTAAAGCCGATCGACGAGACCACAAAAAATGTCATAGAATAGAATAGAAAAATAACTTAATTCTGTGGCGAAGTCACAAAAGAATAACCTGAGAGCTTAAGAATTCATGTTGTACAGAAAAAAGGATTAATTCCATCCAAAAGATCTTTTAAATTAATTAAATAAAAGAAACAAATACAAAAAACAACGATCAAACTTATAAATATTTTAATCTAGTAACTTTTTAGGCTGGCAGTTTACATTCAGAATGGAAAATAATTGAAAATTGGTGGGGGGAAACCTTCAAACTGTGTTCTTGTCTTAAAAATCTAACTCTGTCTAAAATATATCCGACGAAAATCTACGGCACTGACATTATAGATCTCGCAAAACAATGCATAATAGTGTATCCCGTTGGTTAATAGCTATTATCCTTTAGTCACAATAGATCTTTTTGATAGCCATTTTGATTTTTTCTGTGGAATTAAGGATAAAAATTTTACTTCTAGTAATTTTCTCATTGGATATATGCTGAAAGCTCCAAGTTTGCTAATGTTCAAATTTTTAGATCATCTAAGAAGTAGGCTACTAAAGCTAGTATCGCATAAAGGGTTGTATACTATTAGGATTTGGAATATAAGGTAATTTCTAAAGACAAAATGTAGTACTCTACGATTTTTATTTGTACTATTTTAATTTAGAACAAATCGTTTTCATGATATAATATATTTCTATCTCATTGCATTGGATACCTTTGCAAAAACCTCCGCCTTTTTCACGGTTATACACGGTATGCATTCAACACAGAATTTAATATTATGTACTTCATGATATAAATACGTCTTCTCTAGGAAGTATTGTTTTTGAATTATAAATCAGTAAATGAAAAAAGTCAAATTTTTTTTTTGTATGTACATATGTCTTGAGAAAATAAGTGCAAAAATAAGACTGATTTTTTATAATCAAATAAAGCAATAAAGACGTTTGCTGCTAACAACGCCTCCCGCAGGGTTTAATCTTAATGCCATAACCGAAGTTTGGTCTATCAAATAACAGTTATCATTGATTATTATATTATCCTAATAAACATTCCAATTTTTTTTTTTCACGGCTTAATTTAAATATCTTTGTTTCAACTATACATAATAATAAAAACAATTTACAGCAATAAAACAGAATCATTAGTGTCTGATGAACCCAAAACTGAGGAGAAAGACCCATTTGAACTGAAAAGGGACAGGCTATGGGCTCAAATTAAGGAATTGAGAGAAATGGCTAAGGTAACAGATGAAGAACTACAAACGAGGAGGTTTGCTGTTGCGGTATGACTGTTTATTCAAACAGAAATTCTTAAATTTTATTTAGTAATAAAAAATTCAATTCAACTATATGTTATAAGCATCTATATTCAGTTAATTAAGACCTGTTCCGCAACACACTCGTTATTGAAACATCAATTGAACTTTTTTTTGTAAATATTTTATTAAACCATATAATTTGTTTTTAATCCTGACTCTTTTTTATAATAATGCCATGGGCGGCCATTTAAGATTTAAAGTGAATGTCGAAACCTGCAGATCCCTGTTTGAGAATCTGTTCTAGATATTCAACTATTGCGCGTTTAAATATGTCTATATTTATACCAAATTATTAATACAGATCCGCCTCTCGGTAAAATACATGATCAAAGTGTCAGTTAACAATAAGATTGTAAAAATCACTGCAAAACTTCAGTTCAAAATGTGCAATAATATGGAATACGAGACACATGTTTTATTTAAGTGCCCAATATACGATTGTTTGAGAGTAAGAATTTACCAGGGTGTGAGAAATCTTAATGGCATTTCCATCCCATTTAAGCCAACCACTATAGATGATATACAAAAACGCTGCAAATTATTTCGCAATGGTTTATTATTTGCAAAAAACTATACATCTAAAGTAACATAACCTTCCGAGTAACAACAAATAAGAAATAAAAGGTGATTCCTATTATTGGCCTAAACATCTTTATTTTTCATCATTAGTAATATGCTAAAAAAAAAAAAAAAAAGCATTACTTAAGTAACACTTTTAAAAATAAAAAAACAAAACAAATGATATTTTATAGGAAATTTCGTAAACTTTTAAATAACCATATACTATATCAACAAAAAAGTGTATACTTTTTGAGTTATTCGGAAATATAATTTTACCACCCATTTTTTCCAGCTTCTTTTAGTTGAAGTATGTTATGTAGATAAATTTAAAGGGCATCGAGAAGAAGACTTTAGTCAAGTTTCATTAAAATCGGTACATTCGTTTAGGCGCTACAGGTACTATAGCGACACAGGTTTTTCGGCCGCCATCTTGAAAGGAAAGGGCGGATAGTGTGACCTCTGACTTAAAATCCAAATCTGAAAAACATCGGTCCGGTAGTTTCTGAGAAAATGGGCGAACGGCGGACGGACAAAACATTTTTTATTTGTTTTTCGAATTTTACGTATCCTGAAATGTAAAACCTATTTATCAATAAAAAAAATTTTTCTTTGCATATGCGAATAAACTGTTCATTTTACTTTAAAATATGATTTAATATTAATATTTAAAAGATAAAATGTATTTATTGTTCTTGTTTATGTGTTCTATTAACAATTTAAGATTTTAAAATAATGTTGATAATTGGCATTATTTTAATTTTAGGCCTTCCCTCAAAACAAATAAAGATTAAATAAATATATTTATAAAGGTTTTTTTTATTGTTGTTTTCAGGCGAAAGCTGAAATGATACAGAACATCCATGAAGAGATAAAAAGAATGCAAACTCTAATTTCTTTAGCGAAATAATAAAGATGTATAAATGAAACAATATTGGTTATATCTCAGAGGATATTATACCACTCATACATCTAATCGTTACGTAATTAATAATTAAGTTATCATTACTTAACATATTAGTTCAAATATGAGATAGAGAATGAGAAAAAAAAAATGTTTACGGGAAAAGGTCAATTAAACGATCTCCACATTCATCGTAATGAAGAATGTTAGATCGCAAGGCTCGTGTAAAACTGAAGATTTTCCTACCGTAATGATGTCCACTGCGTTAAATCCAACTTATTAACGAGATCATTATAGATTTTTTTTTCCAGAATTCTTTAAAATAGTCTGGATCACAACACTAATATCAGATATGAAAAATGACTCTAATCGAAAAAAGTAAAGTAAACGAATAAAACAAGTTGATTTACATATATATTTTTTTCATCTCCTTCAATGAGAAATATATGAGTAAGAATTTAAGATAAAGGATCATACGTGTAGCGGGGAGTGTTAATTCCAATAAAGCGCCTAATTCGACGGATAACATTTGGTCATTTAAAATTTACTTTTTTTTTCAAACTTTTAAGTTATTTAATAAAACTATTAATTAATTTTGAAGTAGGTAAAGTTTGATAGAAGTTATCGGAAAATTTTTTTTAGAATAATAAATTATAGGTGGAAAATGGCGATTCCCTCCGGGCAGCATTTAACGCTTTCCGCGAGAATGCCCCGTTCAGAAAAAAACGGTCTTGGACTTGCTCTTGCATTTTCGAAATACCAAGACTGCCTAATTGTATCGAGACTAAGACCAAGATCACTTAATTGTAACAAGTATAAGATCAAGACCGCCGAATTGTAGCAAGACCAAGACTTCCTCATTACAGCAAGACTAAGACCAATGCCGCCTAATTGTAGCAAGACCAATACCACCTAATTGTAGCAAGACCAATACCACCTAATTGTAGCAAGAATAAGATCAACACCGCCTAATTTTAGCAAGTCCAAATCCAAGAACGCCTAATTGTAGCAGGAACGAGACCAAGGCCGTCTAATTTTAGCAAAACTAAGGCTAAGACCAAAATCAAGACCAGCTAATTGTAATAAATCCAAAACTAAGACAGACCCTACACGAGTTGAGCAAGAAGACTAGCCTGTGAAACTCATGCGTCTCGCAGTTAAGTGAAACTGAGATTTGAGGGCGTTATTGAGTATTTAGTTTAAATATCAATATTGACAGATGTTCCTTAGTATTGGTTTCAAAACCTTGGTCTATTTTATTGATTATTATATTTTGACAGCTTTGGATTTTATTATATATAATATAATAATATAACTAGGTATATATTATATAATGATAGCTATTGTAGATAAAAAAACAACCAAAAAAAAAAAAAAAAAACACGCATTTTTGTAAATATAAATTAAGCCGATATAGTTTTTATTTTATTTCATTAATTTGCTTGGAATTTAATATAATCTCAAAATGTATCTACTCTGATGCGTTGGGCTATCTAAACTAACATTTTAATAAATAACAATGGGCCAATTAGCTAATTATTGTCAATTGACAATTGCGAAACTCTCCTTACAAGACCGAAACCAAGACCAAAACTGGCTAAAAATGATGGATATACACAAAGATAGGAAATTATAAGAAATAACATAAACAAGTTTTATGGACTTACGGTTTTTTTAACGCTCACTGAGATGAGAACAGATCAGAGAACAAAGGGTTCCACACCAGAAGGCCTCACGCTTGGACGTTAGTATAATTAGCACAGTAAATTAGTAAACACTATTCCTATTTCCTGGAAGACTTCAAAGCACCTAGTTACACCGTCACACACCAAACACTTTGTAATAACATTGGAAACAAGTTATTTACAGAACACTGGAACGATATTGTTTCCAAACTTCGTCAGTGGCGGTTTTTCATTCATATGTTGTTGTTGTTTTACTAATAAGTTGTAGTAAACATTGATGAGCTAGAAATCATTGCTTGATTGGAATATCCGATGAGAAACATATTCAGGGCGTGGACTTGGGAAAAGGTACATGGAAGCTTTGTTCACCATGACGTTTAACAGTTGTTAATTATTAATGAAGCTTTTGTCTCATCAGAAAACCGATAGGTGGCGCAGCTGTAGAACACTTCCACTCCAAGCAAATAATGAATAATTCATTGGCTCACATGACAAAAGCTTATTGTTTTCGGAATTCCTTTCGCTATCGTTAGTTTTTACTTGGAGAGTTTTTTTGGAATTTTTATAAAAAATTGAGATTCGTAATACCCATTGTGATGAATTTTTTATAGAAGGTGTTCAGTTTTACGTTTTATTTTATTTTATATAAGGTTTCAGTTACGTTTTATCACTAGTTATAGTTGCGATGGCCTATCAAGTCCCGAGATGTTTAAATCTGCCTACTTTCCATAACATTCTTTCATTTTTATTTTCTCCATAATTACCACTGCATTAAAGATGATTTAATTTTTTTTTCTTCTCAGCAAGTTTCAAATTGCCTAACGTTTCATCTTCAATCCTGTAAAATATATGTGCCTGTTTGACATTTTCCATCCATCATATGGTGGCCTCATTCTTTCGACTTTTGAAGAACTTAAACAAATGGATTCAATTTAATTAAGTCGATTTCATGGGTATCGTTCACACTAAAATAGACTTCTCACCCCTTAGCATCGATTAGAAAGGCGAAATTATGTGATTTATTGGGACGGTGCAAGTTCCCACATATCATAATTGATTTCTAGGAATTTACACATCATTCACATCGAGAAAACAGTTACAAGAACAATAAAAGAGGACATACAATTAATAAAAAAATATTTCATAAGGTGTAATTTCGTGCTCCATAAAGTTGTGTTTAAAACAAAATATCTAACGTGATTTAGATTAATTAATAACTTTAATAGATTTTTGAGTAACTGAGAAAAAGATGTTTTTCATCTCGCCTGTAGGTAGTTAGTCAGGTATACAGAGGTCTGGAAGACCTGACCGTGTATTTTAGTCTTAAAAAAAAAACCCGAAGTCTTCAATTAGAAACAATTTCTTAATAAAAATTAGATAAAAGTTTTGTAACATTTTAAAATAGTTTAATTTGTTTGGAAATATACCTTTTAGCATCTAGCAGGGCGGCGAACATCACTTTTCCAAGACTCAAGAAAAATATAATAAAAAATAATAAGATTATTCTTATCGTTTGTGTTTATCACGGTAATGACTGTCACAGAACGTTTGCTATTTATCATTAATTATGATGATGGGAGTCGTTAGTGATAAGTAAAGAATTCTGGTTATTCTATTTTAAAATACTTATCATATGATCAGTATTTTTTTTTTTTTTTTTTTTTTCCTTTTTCTCGCCTCTACCCTAAAGGATCAGTATTTTATTTCATCTAAATTAAGAAGATTATTGTTTGAACTGAACAATGATAATTTATTTAATATGATTTAAAATTTTAATTTTATATGATAAAAAAATATGTAAAGCGTTTTCAATGACAAGATGTAATTTCTAAAAAACGTATAAATAACTATTTCAAAAAATAAGAAAATAACACTGATGGTTTAGAAAACATGAAAATTTATCCGTATTAAACCGTAGCAGATTAAAAAATAAATTATATCTCGATACAATTTACAATTATTTAGTTTGATTGTTGGTTCAATATTAAAATATCAGCCTTAAGTAAACTTATTTTGTTATTTGTGAAGCTTATGCTGTCGTTTTAAAGAGTGTATCTAATCTGAACCTTCTCAGTTAAAACTCCAGTCTTAAACTATTATTTGCCAATAATTTCTGTTACCGATTCGATTTCCGAATAAAAAATTAAGCTTCGGCCGATATGCCCCGGGCTGGACAAAATTTATTTCATGGCGAACACATGGAATTAATGTTTTTTTATTGAAATATCCTATTTAGTTTTTAAATAAAATTATAATTTTACTTAAGTGTATCGGTTTTTTATTTTAAGTTTCCATGGCATACTGACAAATACAGAATAATAATATACCACCGAATATTTTAAGTTGAACGGCAATGACGCTAAAGAAATTACGTAGAGTATACATTTTACGAAATATGCGGAAAGAAAGTATTTAAACTGTATTTTTTTTTATTTACTCATTAGAAATGAAGAGGAAGCTAATCAAAATTGATTATCATTTTTTCTTATTTAGTAAAAAAATTAATTTGTTGTAAAGAAAAATTGTATTATTCTATATGTTATGGACCCATGGCCGATTTTTCGTATTTTAATTACCTTGATGGTATGTATAACAATAAGTTTGTTTAAAAATGGATTAATAGTCTTGTTTTATGAATTAATTTCGCCACAATGAGTTCAGTTATGAAAAGAGAAACCTACCATCACGTTCCATCGGAACTCCTGGAAAGGCATCTTATGGGATGTCCCTCAACAGAGAGTTGATCGACAGTGAAAATTAGCATTTTCCCACGTTTAAAACCGCAGAGAAAGCCGGTTTTCTTCCCATCTTCGTCATTAACAATACTTCTTATACCAATACATTTCATTCTTCATAATTAAATATACCCCCATACCAGACTAAAACGACTAGAAACCGCCCGACTACTGCAGCACTTACTGGACAAACGTTCTAAACCTCCAACTATTTACAATAGACTCATATATATTACTATAATATGAGGCCTATTTGGATTTACGGGATCGAGCTTTGGGGCTCTACTAAACCATCAAATTCCTCTCGTATCCAATCTCTACAATTCAAAATCCTTCGTAAAATCCTCAATGCTCCCTACTTTGTCACAAATCATCCATAACGACCTTAATACCTATCCTTCCATAATAAACTTCTAAACCATCCGAACCCTCTTATTTCCAACCTTTCTTCCTCTTCTATTCCGGATAACCCTCCGAGGCGTCTGAAAAGAAGATGGTCTCGGGACCTTCTAATATAGAAATATAATTGGAGTGCTACTAATGGGCAGTTTCTCTTCACGTTGTACATGTTATGCTATTTATTTCATATTTACTTGTTGTATTTATCATTTAATACAGTTGTAAATTTCAATAATAAAAAAAGACTACAGATCTCCACTCAACTTACTAAACAAGCGACTAATCTACATCACTATACTAAGACCTATTTGGACATACGGAGCAGAACTTTGGGGTTCCGCAAAACACACACACATCAACAAAATTCAAACCACACAATCCAAAATACTCCGTAAAATTGTCAATGCTCCTTGGTTTATTTCAAATCACACCATACCCAAAGACATGAACATACCAAAAGTAAAATCCTACATACACAACAAATACACAACATTTCACACTTCTACTCTCAATAATCCAAATCCACTCGTTCTATCTCTATATTCCTCCTTGTTACCTGGTGAGCCTCAAAGACGACTAAAAAGGCAGTGGCCTAT